GATTTCATAATGTGGTTTTCTGTTCTGCTGAGTTGTCCCGAAGGGAAATCTAGCTGACAGGGTCAGCACAGGAAAGTTACCTTATTATGATTTTTTTTTTGGCTTTCTTTTGTAATAAGATGTATCATTTCCACAATACATCAAAGCTGATTGAATAAATGAATTAGAAGTGCCAATTCAACTGGAGTTTTAAAACTCTTTCTTCTAAACCACTAAAATAAATAATTAAATTATTTATCTTTTCCATATGGTAAGTACCCAGTATGGTATTTTCATTATGAAGCAGACAGATAGAATTTCATAGGATTAACCTAACAGTATACATGAAACATCACAATTTGTTTGTGCAACGTTCAGGATTTGGGGACCTGAGATGGAAATAGCAAGAGACAAAGGTAACATTATCTGATGAGTAAGAGCAAGTGATCAATCACATTCTCCTTCCTGTATAAATACTAGGACTGTGTAATGCTTTAGGTTTAATTTGGATGATATATTTTGAAAGTGCAGGTGAACAAACATGGCTTGTGTCAGCAAGTCATGAAAGCGCTGTGCTTTTTTTCTCAACAATGCAGCTGTGGTAGGGGAGGTTTCAATAGCAAGCATGCAGCCTCAATGACTGCGTATACATTATGTTCTTGTTGTACTTTCATGTCTTTCAAAATACCTCAGCTAAATTAAATCAAAACACAGTGCAACGTTATTATATATATCACTGTTTAAAAACACTGAAATCTGGTCATTTATGCAAATGAAAGCATAAATGAAATAAAGTAGCACATTCCAAACAAATGTATAATGAATTGCTGCATGATTGCCATTTTCAATTCTGGCTCCATTGGCTCAAGGTATTTTGACTACTGCTCTAGAAGTGTCTAGAGTGGCATTTTAGGACACTAGGTATAAAGTGCTGTTCCAGTGGGTTTTATGGCCCCATCGGAGCCCGGTTCTGAGGAGGAGGAGGAGGAGGAGGAGATGGAGCTGGGGTCAACAGAGGAAGAGAGTGCAGCTTCTACAGCCCAGGAGGAACAACCAGAGGAGCAGGCCAAGGCAAGCCTGGGTCCCTCGGGCCTCAAAAGGATTGCCAGAGAGGAAGAGAGGGTGCAGAATTCCAGAGAGGAGCAACTCCTCTCTCCGCCCGATCCTTGAGTACGAATGGAAAGGAAGCAGTTAGCGTAGGATGACCCAACCACTTGGGAGGAGAGTGCCCCAACCCTCTTCACAGCTCACCTGGAGAACGGGGTTAAAGGAGATGCCGGGGGAGGGGCTTTTGTTGGGAACAAGAGTGGTACTTGCCAGCAACACATGCCATGATTCGAGAAGCCTGTTACTGGCGACTCACTGCCCTGTTTGCCTTGCCTCATCTAGCCTTGCTGTGTGGGGGTTGCAGAGACCCAGCTTGGCTCCAGCTTGGGCCACAGTCTCGTGAACTCTCTGTGCAAGGAAGATATATGTGACCAAGTGTCCTGAAGAGTTTTTGTTCTCAGAACTGTGCTGCTCTCTTTCTCTCCCTTCTCACTTCAAGGAACTGCTTTGAGGGGTGTGTACATGTTAAAGCCTTGCTCTTGGGCTTACGGTGGGGAGTTTGGTTCAATAAAAGGGGATTCCACCCTTCATATCACTGGTGTTGTTTATGTGCCCCTTCCCAGGTCATAACACTGGGGGGGGGGAGTCCTTTTGCTGTAGCTTTCTGAGTTCGTATTATTTTCCAAGTTTTTTTTATATATATTGTGTAGCAATGCCTGTGCATTAATTAATTCACTCAGTGCTGAACTAATAGATTCATGGCAAATATGGCCATATATTCATCGTAAAAAACCCTGAAAAAATAATAACCAATAAATTATAAAAACTAGATTCATAACAAATTAATTAAAAATGTGATAAGATGGTGACACTGCAAGCATTCTAAGGGAAAGTTAAGCCGTTTGTGAATGTTACCTGTTTCCATCACCTGGGCTATAGGGCTCAATAAGCAGAATAAAAATGCCAAATCCAGTATAAATATCTGGAAGGGTGACCAATCATAAGAGTTGCTATGATTTTGAAAATGTTAAACTATGTTTTCCTTTTAATGGGATCAGAATGCTACAAGTGAAGTCAGCAGTTGGGATGAGAAAAATATTTCCACCAATGAGAAAACAGATTATCCATAAATTTTAAGGGCAAAACAGATTATCCATAAATATAAACATATTTGCAAAAGGAATTACAACTTTTTTTCAATAATGTGAAGCTGAGCTAGTAGTAAATCTGCTATCATCGAAATGTAAGAATGGTATAAGAATATAAGCCAGAACTAATTTTAAAGATATGCAAAGAGCCCATAAGGACTTGCCAAAATTCCAAAGTCAACTGTTAAAAATCTAGGTTTTTTGTAGTCAGTATGATGACTACTAACTTAAAAGCAATAATTGCAGCAAGACTCAAATGATGCTAGAAAAAAAATAACCCATTACGAAGAAAATGTAACCTAAATAAAAATTAATTTGGAGGTTCTTACATGGACTGAGTTCAACAAGAAATTCAGTCAAATGTCAATATAGTTTTATCTCTACAATGATACAGTGCACTGATACCGATGCAGGAATACTGCCAATCTGATAATCAGAAAGTGCTATTATCCTACTTATTTAGGTATCCTGTACTTTCATAATCCTATAGACACATGCATTTATCAATTGTATCAATTTGTAGGGCATTTCAATCACCCAGGTTATTCTAGGCGGTTTACATATCAAAGCTTTTCTAAACAAAATAAGGTATAAAAACAGGCATATTGTAGATCAGGGAAGGATACCTACATCAAACATATTCCCAAATCAAACTGTCTGGCCACTGGTACTGACAGAAGAAGAGAAAATATTTTGCATTTTCTATTGTGAATAAGTGATGTGAAAATTGCAATTTCTTAACGAGAGGTTCACTGGAGAAAAATACAATTCTTGTTTGTAACAATGGGCTACAAGTTTTCTCTTGTGTTACTTTCTTGCCAGTGAAACATACTAGAGAAGTACTTTGAATCCTCATCTTACCCCGAAAGGAGGCCTCAAGAAATAGCACAAGTTTGCACTGTTTGATGATCACAGTATTTTGTAGTTAAATACATCTTTGTTATATTCCTGATCCTCAGGAAAAAAATCTTTAAATATACATTTCATGTAGGCAATAGTTTCATTGCATATTTCTCTTCAAAAAATACTTTTATAGCAGTATATAAATAGGCCACCCACATGTTTAATTTTATAATTTTGCTCCAAACTATAGAATTATTTTTAGAATATCAATTCATCTTCGATTCTGTGCTGAAAGTGTCCTGACATGCCTGTCTAAATCTCCACTGGCACTGGTGTTCCTAGGCAGAGCTAGGTGCTTGGATGGCTGTGTGGGGTGTGCCACTTCCTGAGTTCTTCTGCGTACCCAACACACTGCAGGATATGGTACAAACTCAGAGCTGGCATATTATGAAGTCTGCTATCTTCTTCTCAAACATGAGCAACTATAATGGCTACAATTGTGCTACCTCACTATTATCTAATTTTTTTTTAAAGATTCAAATACACTAAGTCAAATTCTATTGTTACTTATATTCTAGTAAGCAATACATGACAACAGAGTTGATGCAGAAGACAAGTTTATTAAAGATACTACCAAAATTTTTGGCAAACATTAAAAAAATTAGATTTGTAAACATAATGCTTCCCTTTTCAATTGGCAGCACTTCGAAAGAAATATATTAAGACAAAAAGAAAGGACAAATATAAGTCTAAGTTTTGACCAAATAACTTATGTTCCCACATGATAAAATGATGGTTTAATTAAATTAAACCAATTAACACCATGAAATGAAAGTTTGTGCTGTTTGATGATCACAGTATTTTGTAGTTAAATACATCTTTGTTATATTCCTGATCCTCAGGAAAAAAATCTTTAAATGTACATTTCATATAGGCAATAGTTTCATTGCATATTTCTCTTCAAAAAATACTTTTATAGCAGTATATAAATAGGCTACCTACATGTTTAATTTTATAATTTTGCTCCAAACTATAGAATTATTTTTAGAATATCAATTCATCTCTGGTAAGAAAACTGATACATTTGTCTTGTACTAACGCATGTTAGTTACATCCACCTGAACATTTGGCCTATGTCCATTCCTGCCCTCATATTGTGTATGCATGCAACTCTCTCTCTCCCCACCCCTCTCTCACACACACACACATTAGGCCACAGAACACTCCCCATTTTTACACAGAGGGAAGCAGTGTACTTATGGTAAAATTAATTAAGTATATTTCAGGTACATAAGAAAACACCATAAGGCAACCACTGTAGTGGGGGTTGAAATCACAGGAATACGTGTTTCTTGTATGTGTATATATGTATGTATGTATGTGTGTGTGTGTGTATGTGTGTATATATATATATATATATACACACACACACACACATACACATATATATATATATACACACACACATATATATATACACACACACATACATATACATATATATGTATATGCATATATATATGTTATATACCACCTTTGAACCCGCCCCAAACAATGTATCATTTTTGTTTTATTTTGTGCAAATTTTAAAACTCTGTACCACTTAAGGCAAATAGTTTTGCATTCAGAAGAAAACAATTCAGAAAATAGACCTGTAGTTATTGAAAAGCTTTTTTTTTTTAACTACAATTTTTCATTTGAAAAATGTACAATCTCAGAACTATAGAGTCTGGATCCCCATTACCCAATGGTAAAATGATTTCCATGGATAAACAAGTAAGAATTAAGGAAAAGGGGACCAGAAAAAAGCTTCAACTATGCAGAGAAGCAACATCCTCACCATCAACAAAACAGCAAATTCAGACTGCCTTAGAAAATGTTCAGACTGCTCCTGCCTTAGAAAATGTTCACTTATTTTAAAATCTTAGAATAAGCTGTATGGAATTTTAAATAAATAATCTTTAGTTTATTCACATCTTCTGGTCCAGAGCCTTAGTGCCATGACCCTGCTTGTTGTTGGTCAAATTCACCTATAACTCTTTTGATATGAGCCAACTTGTTATGAAGATATTCGCATCTGTACTTTTCTTCATGGTAGTTGGGACTAGACTGTAACAGCAAATAAAAATAAAATAAGCTTTTGAAAGAACATCATTCTTTTAAACAAATTACATAGCTTTTATTTTTAATAAACACTCCCAAAGCAGCTAAAATATCTATATTTCACACATCAAACAAGAAATACAGAAATAATTAATTAATTAATAATTAATTAATTAATTTCAAAATAGTAAAAAATAGCATTTTCTGAAATTTACTTTAAAGAAAGGGATAAACAGTGTATATTTAGTCAAATTTCATCCAGGAAAGTTTTAATGGTTTCATACGATTTATCTGATTTAATGGATCTATACATGGAATTGCATCTTTCCATAAATATTTTTGTCTTGGATTTCTGAAAAATGATTCACTTTGTTAATGCTAACTGGGACAGAAATAATGGTTAATGTATGAGTGAAGACAGTCATACATTACTATTTCCATATTGCTATGTGCGTTCATTTATTCAAAATATGATATGTTATGTAAAATTTGAAAAACATTAAAACATTAAGCATGATACAAAAATGTTGAGTGCTTTCACTCAAAGTTGAGTGGCATTTGCCAGGGTTCTGGATGCCACCCACAAACCCAAACTATGGTTAAGATACATCAATGACACATTTGTTATTTGACCCCATGGAAAAGAAAACCTAAACAATTTTCTAACACACCTAAACAGCACACACCCCTAAATCAAATTCACCATGGAAACGGAAACAAACAAACAACTACATTCCTAGATGTACTAATCTACAAAAAAAACAGATGGCACACTAGGACACACCATATACCAGAAGAAAACACCACCAACCGCTACCTCAACACCCAATCCCACCATCACCCAGTGCAGATAAACTCCGTGGCCAAAACACTAATTGCCAGAACCAAACACCTGGCAGACAAGACACACATAAAGACTGAACTATGCACCCTGACTTAAGTACTGACAGCCAATGGCTTCCACAAAAGCAAAATCACAGGCCTGATCCACAAAAACACACTGAGCCATAATAGAGACCTAGAAGATGAACAGACCCATGGAACAGCTTTCCTGCCCTACATAAAAGGTACTACAGACAAAATCAATAAGATACTACACAGGCATCACATCAAGACTGAAAAGACAGAAAAATAGCAGCCATCCTAAGAACCCCAAGATAAAATTGACCTGGAAAACTAAGGCATATATGAAGTCCCTTGAGCATCATGCCCTGCCACATACATCGGGCAGACCAATAGAAGAATAAGAATCCGCCTGGATGAACACAAAAATGCAGTAAAAAAGCTGGAACATACTTCCTCACTAGTCCAACACATGAAAGCCACAGGTCATAGTATCGACTTCAATGGCACCAAAATCCTAGCCACTATAAAAAAAACCAGCTACAGAATTATCAGAGAAGCCATGGAGATTGAAAAAAGACCTGAAAGCATGAATTGAAGAGATGACTCCATCAGACTCCATCAGTCAATTATCTGGAAGCCTGCACTCAAACAAACAAACAAAAAATCTCCACACCACAAGCCAAGCAAACACCTGGTCACAAACAGCCCCCCCCCCCCGATACCTCCAGCTCAAACACACCCCAACCAGCCACCCAGATGAAACCTAGCTTCCTAATAAACGATAGCCGGCCGTTCACCTCAAGCCAAGCCATACTAAAAGCCTCCAATACAGGAAACACTATGTTGCCAGCCAATCAAGACAAAAAAATGCTACAAAACAGACAGAAGGTATTAGAAACACCAATCAAGCAGAACACGGCAAACTCCAAGACCAATAAACACAGACCAAGACTCCCAACCAATCAAGTTGAAGAAAAAACCATTCTAACACAGCAGGAAGCTAGCATCAAATTTAAAACAGAAATGGCTGTGAAAGCCTGACACACAGACGAACCCATAAAGACTGAACTATGCACCCTGACTAAAGTACTGACAAGCCTGATGATGACAGATGAGATTCTGCCGAAACGTCACTACAACTTTAAAAGCACAACTATAATGATGTGGGAAAATACCTGAACAAAACTGAATACCATACATATAAATACCTGCGAAAACTTAAGAAAACATATATATGTGTGTGTGTGTGTGTGTGTGTGTGTATCAGAGCAAACAAAATTAAACTTATACAGGTATACAAATTAGACTATAACAATGCTAAGTTAAAAGAATATGATGTATCATTTTTAATAGTAGCAATTGCACCAACCTGTTTAATCTTCTGATATTCTTGTAGGACTTCCTCATGAAGGATCTAGAAGCAAAAATGAATGGCTATAAAGTTCAGCTAAATCTGTAGCTCTTTGAATTTGATTCCATAAAGGTGTACACAGGGGCATAAAAATCCAAGTTTTTTCCTTGGATTTTACAGCTATATCCTGGGGAAGGATGCAGTATATGGTATGTAGACAGATGTTATATTCACACCCCTTTGTGCAGCAAATCATTTTTTGGAATTGAATCAATAAAATTACATAACTTTTAATTATTAACAGCTTCTTTGAACCAAGCAAGCAGGCAGTGTATAAAACATGTGCAGTATAAGACCTAAGATGATGTATGCAAAACATTTCCCTTCTTTCTACCAAAAATTGTCACTTCTTTCCTTAAAGTTAGAGTGTTTTCCATCTAAAGTCTAAAAATCCAAATGAGAGATCTCTCATTCGTTCCTTTTTCTATCATGATGTAACAGCAAGGAAAAATCTTACTAACAATGAGAAATGTGTTACTGATACTGCCTCTGTAACAAAGTGGTTTTTTTTATATCAGAAAATTTGATAATGCAGGTATCTTTCTGCCCATCATGCTAAGCACACCTAAATAGAGTAGTTTCCTCTTAATTGTATTTCTCTGCTACCCCGTTCTTTTTTTGTTCATAAATAATTAAATTAAACCATAATAACTGTTCCAGTTTATAAAGAGAATGGAAATAAAAACCAATTTGCACTTATTTCTAAGCACTAAATGACTTCTGTTCTCTATTTCATCATCTGCACTCATCACTGTAATACAGTGTTTTGACTACTAAAACTATTGTCAGAGATATAATAAATAAACAATCCAATCTAATTATACCACTTTTGCAGCAACCTTAAAGGAAAAAAGCAAGATTACAACATCACAATAAATAAATGAATCAACAAATAATAAATAAAAACTACTGTAGTAGGAATCACTAATAATAGAACATTCTTCAATAAATATTTTTATAAAGGTTTCATTTTAGGAATCATTCATTCTTTTGTTCATTCATCCACTCTATGGATTCTTTTGAAAGAAGCAAAAATAACCTGACTACTTGCACATTTGCATAACCCAATATTACTATCTTAGCCACAACGTAGACTTTCATGAAGAGAGTTTTAACAATTGAAAAAGCAACCCTTACCTGATATTCCTTAGTTCCTGGAGAGAGTAGTTTACGCTGTGCATCTAGTTTCATAAATCTCCTAGTTACACTCTCGATCCTCGCATGCAAAGTTCTGTACTCATCATATTCTGCATTAAAATCATCCTTGTAACTTTGACGTTGCTCATATGAGACAATTGCTATGTATTTGCTGTTGCAAATAAAAAAACAATGTTTTTATAATATTGCCTGGTCCTAAATAATTGCAGTAATTCTTCAAAACTTATCAAATACACTTATATTCCTTAATCCATAGCACTCATTGCATGATCATTATTAACTAAATTTTATTTTCTACACTAGATATATCTCATTCTTTCCATGGCTTCATACAAAGCCATTTAATGAAGCTAACAGCTGAGATGATTCAAATAAGGTTCCAAGAATAAGAGAATTAACTGTTTAATCCCTCTGTGAAAATATGCTCAAATTTTATGCTTTCTAGACTTAATATAACTGAATATGACTTAACTTCTGAAAAATATTTCTCATGAATACACTAGGTCAACAAAGTTAATAAAAAGCCCAACTTATTTAAAGCAAAAGAAATAATTATCCAACTGTATCAGAACACTCAGGACTTTATTTATCTGCAGCTCTCATTATAACAAGCACTTTGCTGCCAATTCAGTTCTTGCTGCTCTACTGTCTTTAAATGCCTGCAGGGTCTTTTTTTATTGGGCCAGTCTCTCTCCCTTCACACACACACACACACACACACACACACACACACACACACACACACCAAATTAGTACACCCCATTTAGAAATGCCAATAAACAAAAACAAAAGTATATTTCAGAAAATATACTTCCCTTGCATAATATTGCAAGGATGAAAAACTAGATAGTAAGAAATAAAAAGCAATATGCAACAGTCTGTCAGTATTGGATAAAGCAAAGTTCCAGGAACTTTTAGCTCTTTATCTATCTCTTCCATCACTGCCATTAATGTTACCTTTATTAGAATTACATAAGCTTTAAAATGTTATATAAATGCAAGATAAATGATTCCAAATGGGAGCGGAAAAAAAAAAGCCCAGGATTCAGTGCCAACTGTAGCTGATATGCTAGACATATACAAGCACTGTCATTCTAGGGATAAAGGTCCTTAGAGTAGCATTACCATTGCTAAGCCGGAGAGCACTTTAAAATTACTAGCAAAATTATGCCAGCTTGCCAACTCAAGCTATTTCAAAACACAAATCACTGGGGAAGAGCAGAAAATGACATTCCAAATTTATTTGCAAAAGTTTTATTAGACTTTCTTTTTTGAAAGCTCCTTCTGTATAAGAAAAAACAATTTACTACAAATATCTGGACACACATTGGAAGGAAAAAATGACAGAATTCTGTACTAGAGTCAAGGTGGTAGTATCAGAAGCCAACTTTATTTGCTTGGCAAGCTGTCCAAATGCCTTAGTGAATAGTTATTTTGTAAAGGCCAGTGGTAACAAAAGCAGGCACTTCAATTTGGTAAAGTATTTGAGATAGGTGGCATGTATATTAAGAAGTTTTTCTATATAACAAAAATTGCATAATTGTGCAACATTTTTATGCAGCTCTGAAATAAAAACCCTGGTAACTCTTATATTTTAAATGTTCATCACTCTAGGTAATGCTGCATAAACATTTTTTTTTACTATCCCATCCCTTTCTCCAAGATTAGTCACTTACACAAAGTAGTCTGGTAGTTCACTTGTTGACAAAGGATCTGTAGTGGCAGTGCATGTCTTTTTAACACCTATAAAAATAGAAGTTTTAGAATTTGACAATGTTCCAAGTCAAACTTGATTACTACGCTGCTCCTTTTTACGGATTAGCTTTAAGCGAGAATGAAGAGCACCTTTCTTTGGTAAACTATTTATACTGCAAGTTATCTGGCAAAATAGCCAGGGGCAAAAATACAAATGGAGAAATAATGTCAGCCTTCATATAATATCCTAATCTATTAGACAAGCCTCTCATAAATTACAGCATCTTCCCAGCTATTCAAAAATTGGACATACGTTGGAATTTTACACAAACGTCCAGCAGAACTGCAATAAAGAGTGGAATGCTTAGTGTTTTGCTTTTCATGAATTCTTCTCCCTCATCCAGTATAACATAAAATTATGATCATGCTAGATTGTAATGCAATTTACCACAGAATAACTAATAAAGATAATTGAGAATGCATAATATAAGATAGATCCATTACAGTAATCTTTAAAGTGGCAGGGTTAAAATAATGGTTTGGATTCTAAATAATCTGTTGTATGAATGAGATGTATAACACTTTCAATTTTGTTACAATATCATGAAATGTTAAATACTGGAAGAAGAAAACACCAATTACATTGTTAAGTTATATAAAGCAAATCTGTTGTTTTCTTTAAAAGTGTATGTTTGTAGTTATCTTTGATAGCTTGGAGTATTATTTTGTATTATTAAACAACAGACTATCAACATATTTGTAACCTATCTAAGACAATCATATTGGGAGCTCCAGTTAATAAAAGACCTATTATATCCATTCAGTGATAAATTCGTATAAATAATTTGCTATAATTTTTCACTTGATGCCAGGCTTTTCTTTTTAAAAGGCTCATAATTCAGGAGTTTTAGTCACTAAAAGTTGTTGGTGTTCAATAACTTTTAGTAAGCAACTACTACCTCTGTTCTCTGTTTTTTTCTAGTCATTGAATCTTTCTGAAAAAGCAGAAGATAATCTTTAGCAAAACACTACAATGCAAAGCTAATGTTACAATTATCAGTAGAATGCTGTATTTAAGTTCTATCTTGAGATCAATTTTATCTGCTAAGACAAAGTTCCCAATCTTTCCAGCTTTGGGAGGGGGTGGAGAGGGGATGGTTCTGTGCAAATGGCAGGCAAGCACACACTCAGTTTCATTTCCGTCCACTGCTTGCACAAGTGGGGAGGTGTGTGCGTACACTCGCCTGTCACCTCCTTGGTACGGTTCTGAACAGCTCCAGGCCTGTAATGGGCTACAGCCCAGGGATTAGGGATCCCTGTAGTAAGAAATCAACCAAATGGAATGCAGGACTGCATTTCATCTATTAATTTATCACATGGAAATTAATTTTATTGATTAACTTTATATCCCACTTTTCCTTTATGAAGTCAGAAGGGCATATATAGTATTCCACCCCCCAATTTCACCCCACAACAACAATCCTGTGAAATAAATTAGGCTAGAAGGGAATGACTGACCAAAATCACCACGTAATGAACCAGACTGATTTTCTTCCACCATGAAATGCATGCATGTGCATTTCTAAAATATGACCCATAGTCACCCTTATTATCATCATGTGTATCACTACACATTTATCTGACTAAAGGCTTGTTAGAAATTATTAGAAGCAATTTTAAACTATGTTTTAAATGTGGTCATAGCTGTACAAATGAGTGAGGACAAACTTTTGCCTTTAAGATGCATCAGGTTTCCAGTTTACATCAGAGAAATCGATTTACAATTTGGATTTTGCCAAGTTACACAGAAATATCTCAAAAACCCAAACAGAGTCTGTCTCAAGGCCCCTCCACTGATTAGGAGCTGTAATAGATAAGAAGCTTATTTTGTGTTCTGATTCCAAACCCCCTCTCACTTTCTCTTGGGAAGAAACATGGTTCTGGGTGAATGTTTATTTTTAGATAAGCACCAAAACTAAACAAAACTTGTAAACTAGTGCACAGGGGGTGTTTTTACTGGTTAATATTGCTCCTCTCTTTGCCGAGAAATAAAAGGAAATACATGGACTTAGTATATTATTTGGTGATGGAAAAGTGGAAAAATATTGTATGTAGTTAAATGCACTGAAATTTACATTATGTTATAACATAAAAGACAATTTTTATAAAATGACGTATTATAGGCCATTTATAAAATTATCTATCATTCAGAAAAATGTCTAGAATGCATAAAGGTACTTCAAATTTATGTTGAAACTGTAGACAACATGAGGGGTCATTTTATGATGTTTGGTGGACTCAGAAAAAAACCAGAAATTTCTGAATTTAAATACATATATTGTTCCAAAATTAACATTCAATTTAAACCAGAAATTTTCTTGCAGGAATTAATGGATGGTCAATTAGAAAAGGAGCCATGGAAAATTACTTTTATGTATGATTGCTGCTTAATTAGTATTGGGAGTGGAGGTGGATTTTCGACTGGATGTTTGACTATTATATGAGCAAACAAAACACTGAAATAGTCTGAAATATCCACAGTGGAAGAATAGTTGGTGAAGATGATAGAGTTAGCAAAGATGGCAAAATTAACTTGTTTTATTAGAGAAGATCAACTACATTTATCTGTGACTAGAAACCCGTATGGATCTTTTGCTGATTTTTAAAAAATCTTGTTAAAAATTTCTTCAGTAAAAATTATATTAAAATTATTCCTATTCTTTCCCATTATATAGCAAATGAACATGATTTGTTTATGGGATTAAAAGTTTAAGTTCAAAAGATGGTTGCAAATCATTCCCACCATTATTTAGAATGGTTACTTCACTAGTTAAATAATCTAGTGCAACCATTTAAAATAATTAAGATTAAATTATTTTAAACAGCATTTTATAAGATACAATTAACTGACAAAAAAAGATAACCTTTGCTCAAATATGGCATTTCCATTCCTACAGATTTGCATAGGAATTTGTTCTGATTAGCCTCTCAAATTCAGGAATCAGTAAGTACATGTTAGATTCTTATGAATTATTGCAACAACATGAGTGATACTCCAACAATAGAAATGGTTGCATACTGGAACCAAGTGGGATCAGAGATATCAATTAACCTATCCCTAATCTTTCCTGAATACAGTTATTTGCAAAGAGCTCTCACATAGCAATAGCATTAGCCTTATAAACCACTTTATAGTGCTTTACAGCCCTCTAAGCGGTTTACAGAGTCCGCATATTGCCCCCAACAATTTGGGTCCTCATTTTACCCACCTCAGAAGGAAGGAAGGCTGAGTCAACCTTGAGCCTGATGAGATCTGAACTGCACAGCAATGCTAATGTAATAATGTTCCCTAGCTCCCTTACAGTTCACAGTGAAATGCAAAAACAATACCTTCACTCATTTTCTGACTGGAATTCTTCAATTTGGTTATTTCTTGGCTTTCACAGTCTCTCATTTTCTTGTCTTCATTCCCAGTATTACGGTCTTTTATTTGGTCCTTTTCCTTATGCTTCTTTGATTTCTTTTTGGACTTTTTGTATAGCAATGAATGTTTTTCATTGGTAGACTTTGGGCACACTGACAGACTTTCAGAAGGTGCTGGGATTTCCAGTGGAGTCCTGGAAGTGTATTTTTGATGCTGGTCCTCATAAATATTGCCATTCTGGCTTAAGGTGTCAACTGGCAGGTCTTGGGTACCCCGACCTTCGGGAGTGCTTGGGGAATTGGAGTTAGAACTTGCAGTCTGGGGAGGATTTGAAACAGGGAGACAAGTTGAAACAAATGGTGGAGCAGTTGGGGCTGCAGCAACTGCAGGAGGTGGTGGTGGTTGAGAAGTTTCAGCACTTTTTTCACCAGAAGTAGGCAGATGGCTACTTAATGTTGGTTGAACTCTATTGGTAAGATGAGATATCCTTGGTTTTTTATTCATTAACGGATCAATAAAGTCAGAGTCCAAAAGACGTTTCTGCAATAAAATGATAAGTTAGTTTTCATTATATTAAAATTTCAATTTAAATTGTAAAGACTGCAATTACGAGTCATTTTACCCTGATGAGGAATAAAAAGAATGATAAAAATCAAGCATAAGTAGAAATGATATTAGTTAAAGAATAGTCATTTATAGCAGATTGCTAGAGTGGGATATAGTTGATTATATTTAATGGACAGTGAGGGTCCTCAGTAGGTACAAGTACTCAGTTTGGTTATTCCATTATTATACACAGTGCCTGGCAGGTCAGCAATAAACATTAGAAATATGTTTTCTGCACTAAAATGTGACCACTATTTCAGGCTTATGGGGGACAAAAGTTTTACATTTATAATGCCATGGTAATTTTCCAGTTGATAAAAAACCAGAATAATTAATAGTCCATGTAATACGGTAATACGGAGTTAGGGACCAGGCTTGACTATCACATTTCTGAGGTAAAATACTATATATAAAATCTTCTATCACTTTTAATACTAATGAGTTCAGCTCACAAAACTTAAAACACATAGTTTTTACTTAATCTCATATCTTTAAAAACATTTTTAAGAGTCAAAGAACTGATTTTCCAGCCTCTGATTAGGCTCAGTCCTTCTTCAAGCCATGAATAAAATCATCACACTTGACTGTGGAGATAATCTTATTTTAAAAACAAAGATTGACTCTGTGCTGAAGAAGATAAGGATACAAACTCAGGCTGTGTGTTATTTATTAATTCAGAAGCTACTTGATGCTTCTTCAAGATACTTTGGTGTGGGATTGCTAATCTAGAAAAACAACTAATGGCAAGCATATGGCAACTAAAGCAAACTGGTTAGCCTCAGATTAGTAGGCACACGCTTATTTCAGGATAATGCAGAAGCTTCTACCAGCTTTATACACTGCTCAAAAAAATAAAGGGAACACTTAAACAACACAATGTAACTCCAAGTCAATCACACTTCTGTGAAATCAAACTGTCCACTTAGGTAGCAACACTGATTGACAATCAATTTCACATGCTGTTGTGCAAATGGAATAGACAAGAGGTGGAAAGCATAGGCAGTTAGCAAGACATCCCCAATAAAGGAGTGGTTCTGCAGGTGGTGACCACAGACCACTTCTCAGTTCCTATGCTTTCTGGCTGATGGTTTGGTCACTTTTGAATGCTGGCGGTGCTTTCACTCTAGTGGTAGCATGAGATGGAGTCTACAACCCACACAAATGGCTCAGGTAGTGCAGCTCATCTAGGATGGCACATCATTGCGAGCTGTGGCAAGAAGGCTTGCTGTGTCTGTCAGCATAGTGTCCAGAGCATGGAGGCGCTACCAGGAGAGAGGCCAGTACATCAGGAGACATGGAGGAGGCCGTAGGAGGGTAACAACCCAGCATCAGGATCGCTACCTCTGCCTTTGTTCATGGAGGGACAGGAGGAGCACTGCCAGAGCCCTGCAAAATGACCTCCAGCAGGCCACAAATGTGCATGTGGCTGCTCAAATTGTCAGAAACAGACTCCATGAGGGTGGTATGAGGGCTCGACGTCCACAGGTGGGGGTTGTGCTTATAGCCCAACACCGTGCAGGATGTTTGGCATTTGCCAGAGAACACCAGGATTGGCAAATTCACTACTGGCGCCCTGTGCTCTTCACAGATGAAAGCAGGTTCACACTGAGCACGTGTGACAGACGTGACAGGGTCTGGAGATGCCATGGAGAACGTTCTGCTGCCTGCAACATCCTTCAGCATGACCATTTTGGCAGTGGGTCAGTAATGGTGTGGGGTGGCATTTCTTTAGAGGCCCACACAGCCCTCCATGTGGAGGTAGCCCGACTGCCATTAGGTACCGAAATGAGATCCTCGGACCCCTTGTGAGGCCATATGCTGGTGCAGCTGGCCCTGGGTTCCTCCTAATGCAAGACAATGCTAGACCTCATGTGGCTGGAGTGTGTCAGCAGTTCCTGCAAGACGAAGGCATTGATGCTATGGACTGGCCCGCCCGTTCCCCAGACCTGAATCCAATTGAGCACATCTGGGACATCATGTCTCGCTCCATCCACCAACGCCATGTTGCACCACAGGCTGTCCAGGAGTTAGGGGATGCTCTAGTCCAGGTGCGGGAGGTGATCCCTCAGGAGACCATCCGCCACATCAAGACCATGCCCAGGCATTGTCGGGAGGTCATACAGGCACGTGGAGGCCACACACACTATTGAGCCTCATTTTGACTTGTTTTAAGGACATTACATCAAAGTTGGATCAGCCTGTAGTGTTTTTTTCCACTTAAATTTTGACTGTAACTCCAAATCCAGACCTCCATGGGTTGCTAAATTTGATTTCCATTGATAATTTTTGTGTGATTTTGTTGTCAGCACATTCAACTATGTAATGAACAAAGTATTTAATAGGAATATTTCATTCATTCAGATCTAGGATGTCTTATTTTGTGTTCCCTTTATTTTTTTTGAGAAGTGTACTTCAGAATTCAATCCTATTTTTCAAGGGAGGCACAAAAGGCAGTGAAACCAGCAGACCACAGAGACAAATCCCTCCATTCTTTTGTGCCTTTCTGATTTATGCCAGTATACTCCTTCATAAACAGCTGATATAGAAACTTCCTGAAGTTTTAGGAACATTATATTTAAATTTTCAGCATACTTACATATGCTCTCATAAACTCATGTGAAGTATTGAGTATACCTTGTTCTTTGTAAGAAAGCTTTCAAATAAAAAGCAAAGTAATACTATGCTTTTCAAATTAAAATTATTTTTGTACAAAGGGTTCATTATAGTATAATATAACTAAGGAAATAAGAATTTTAATATTTGAGGACAAATCAGATGCATACATGCACACACACTTCATTTTGTGGCTCTCATGTTGACACAAAAAATGGAATGCCATGAGAGCCAGCTATCATTTGACGCAACACTGATGTGGCAATACCTAAGTTGCAGAACATGTTCCTGCCACTGAAGGAAATAGGATATATTTCCTATATAAGATATAGCTTTGGATTACATATCTAAATAAATCAGTTTTGAATAATACTCTCCCTCTCCCTCTGTGTGTGTGTGTGTGTGTGTGTCTGTGCATGTGTAGAGTTGCCTTTGGTGAGATAGGCAATGTAGAAATTTAGTAAATAAATACTGTATCAAATAAAATATTCCAAAAGTCAAACAAAAATCTATTTGGAAAGTAATGGAAATTGGGGACTTTGCTACTTTAATTAATCTTATTTGTTTTAATTAATCTACTTTGGAAAGTTTTAATTAATCTACTTTGGAAAGTAATGGAAATTGGGGACTTTGCTACTTTAATTAATCTTATTTGTAATTATACAATTTCTATTCAAATTGAAACAGTATTGTCATTAAAACTGTTTTTATCACATATACAGTATGTAGTGGTGAGCATGACATTTAGCCAAATTATATATTAACTGGACTTAAAGATTGACAGGTAGTTTTTTTCAAAACAGAGTCTGAAGCCTTCCTGGGTTTCATTAGTGATCTGAAGACACACTCAGACTGCAGAAATTCCTCTCCAGATTCCTCATATAGAAAATATATCAAGTATAATTTGTGATTGATATCTCTAGTTCCTAATTGGTAGGGTTCTTCTGTTTTATGAAAGGAACTATAATTATAGTGTTTTGGGAAAGTAAACTGAAATAACATGTAGCACAAATGTTCCTGTGATTTTTCTTCTCTGTTTTCTCTTTCTAAGGGTAAGAATTATAGGAGAGATTTGATGGAATCTATAGGACTTGAGGAGTGAGTTCTTGTTTGGAAATAAATGAATGTTTAAGTCCCTTTTTCTTTCAATTGCTGGTTTCATATCCATCACCAAAGCTGTTTTAAAATTATTCCGTGGCTTTGTGGTCACAGCATAAAAAAGTTTTATTATCTAAATTCCCAAGTCTCTGAATCTATCCTTCAGAAATTTTCCATGCGTCTAGCTTAGAGATACTTAGATGAGGCACTTCATTTTTATAGAAATAGTCAAAAACAAAAGTATACACCATAGAGAAGGAACAAGGAATAAATTACTGAAACCCTTCTGAAATATTGTACATTTCTTAAGTAGGCTCATTTTTCCCTATTCATCATAATGATCAGCCTCTGGAAAGGACCTCAACTTTTCTTTTTTTTAAAAAAATGTATTATATTAATGACACTTTGGAAGGATTTATATCCTCAAGGTCAGGATATAAACTGATAGCCCAAACTCATCTGCAAGAATACTTCAGAGACATTGTGGTGAGGATGCTTATCTATGTGTTTAAATTCTTGTGGGATTACCAAATCTTGCAAATATTTCTGTTGTGCTGATTTGGATGAGCTTTGGTAGGTGTGCTTCATCCTAAATTGCTCTAAAACCAACATTTTTCATCAGTATATCAAAAAGAGAAATGCTATTGTTATCTGTTGATATTCAGTGAAACTGATTTACAGATGTAATAGTTAATACTTTGAAAACGTAACATATCCTTCTGTGAAGTCAAAATACTTGTGCTTCTTCTGCAGTGTTGCCTATGTTAGCCAGCAGCAAGTCTTTCAATCCAACCTTTGTATGCAACAGGACTGTACAGAAAAGACCCAAAGTTCAGAGCAAGCCTCCATCAGTCACACATTGATCTTCTCCAATGGATGTTTCCTCCACCCCTCAACATTTGTTACATATTATCTTATTACAAGATATAGAATTAAAGTGACAAGGAAAATACCTGAGAAGGGGAAGAAGATGCAGCCTCTTTGACAGTCCTCAAAGGAGACCCCAGGTTACTGGTGCTGGTGGCATTCTGAGATGAATGTAGTTTTCTGTAAAGATTATCCATGTTCAGTATCACAAAGAAAATCAAAATGCCCTAAACTAAATCAAGGTTGTAAAGTTATTTAATTTTTCTGGATGTTTACAGACGATGTGAAGAGGATTTCAACCTACCGAGAAAGTATTAATTCCAGTGACTGTCTATCTATTTCATTATATCCAGGCCAATCTTTTTGAACTTCCTTATAAATATATTCTTTCAAAGTGTAAGAGTTGTCTTTTGGATTCAGATTAGCTACCTACAGATTAGAGATAAAAACACAAACACTTAAAATTAACTGAAAGATAAAGTATCTGAAAAAATCACACTTAATATCATGAAGTTTAATAAAAAAAAATTATGGTTCTTATGGTCCATAATTAAATATTTAATTGGTAAATTATTAAAACTGTATTATCAGAAACAGATTTCTAAAAAAGAAGGAACATAAAATCCACCACTATAGTTTAAGTATGTTTTTCAATAGAAAACCAGAACTAATAGGATAATAGAAAGAAGCCATTCTATTAATTGTGGATCTGTTGCAGGGTCACAGTTTTGGAAGACTACCTAACCTGAGAGAATTACTAAAATCTTTCTCAAGAATGTTGGGTTTAGATTTTAAACAAGAGGGCAACTCAATGTTGACTCTGCATTATGAATTAAGTGAGCCTGAACTTGGTGGACATAGTGGCTTAAACAGCTTCAGCTTTTCTCAGCGTGGAGTCAGTCCTTCAGTTTTCAGTGCTTCCTACAAACTGTCATTGGGTTCTTTATACTCTGGACCAAGTAGGGAGCTGGAACCTAATCTACTTGATCACTGGACAGCTGCTCCTTGAGAATGAATTGCAAAAACAGAGGTCCTAGTAAATAGTTCATGAGTGGAATAGTTGGGGGATAAGGAATATCATGTTGTTCAATGTTGAGGTGCAACTTGTTTGAGTCCACTGACACACATTTCTAGATCATTTTTGGACTTGTAATCTTTGGAAGTTGATAATACTTATTTGGCAGCTAAGTATTTCTTTTTGTGTTTTTCCTCCTTTTTTGGACTATTACATCTTAGAGATATATTAAATTAACCTTTGTTAAAGTTTTTCAAAAAGCCGGGCAACCAAAACGATATCAGAAAATTAATGAGAAAAAAGTCAGGCTTCCCTTTAATTATAAAAAGAAAAGTTTATTTTGTTGGTGAATCTCTAGTTTTAAATTACTAATTCATAATTTGAGGGAGATGGATGGTTTAGAAATATGGAATATAAATATTTTTATGTGGACTCTGTCTTCTCATAGTACCTCTTGTCCTACTTTACCTGACTGGATTGGCCTTGATTAGGAATATTGTAATTAGCTTAGTCTGTGCATTGTTGACTGATTTAGTTTTAGACACTTTGGCTGACATCTACTGGCAACTGTTGATAATTATAACATTAAAACTGCAATTCACTTTCTTCCTTGCTTTATTTTATTTTTATTTTATTTTGTTTTTTTGATCACTTTAGAATTGCAGCATGCAAAGTTTGAGGAGATATCAGAAAACCATTCACTGAGTAGCTGCTGAAGGAGAAAGAGAAATGTCAGTTACATCTATCTTAGTTAAATGTTTGAGGAACAGGATACTAAGTTTTCATCATTTGAAATAAAGTTTGAAAAAATGGACGAGATGGATAATTTTGTAAGGTGCCAAGGATGTTTTAGTACACTTTATAAAGAAGGGATAAGAGACGTTTTCAACAGCATTCCATCTCAAAACTGAAAATTGTCAATGAAGAGATAATCATCCTAAATTAAATTCTGATCCAAATTTTTCATAAAAGAAGAGTATTCTTTTTTTAACCGAAACACTGAAGTTGAAAACTATTCCACTTCATTGGGAAAAAATAGAAGGGATAACTTTTATTTTTCAACATGAAAGATTTTGATTAATATTGTTCAAAGTACCAGAGAATTTTTTCAGAAATTTAAAGTAGAGTTGCAAGAGACTCAAAGAGAAAGTACAGAGAATATTGATAAGCAATTGACTAAAAACAAAAAAACTCCAGGATGCTTAAGACAATGAAAAAGACAATTTGGAACCTGGTGTACAAGACCAGATTTATCTAACCATGGAATATAGATGCCTTTTTTCTTTCTTTCTTTTGAACTTGAATTTAACTTGGAATATAAATGAGGCAAATTCCATTCACAAAAGGAAAGAGTGTATTTCACTACATGAAGAAATTAAAATAAGATATAATTTACTTACAAGAAACACATATCAGAAATAAAGATGTGAAATACTTGATTTATAAAAACTTGGCAGATGACTTAGTTTTGGCAACACCAAAAAATCCCAACGGAGTAGTACTACATGTTAAACCCCAATTAAAATCACAATTAATAATAAGTAATAAGACAGTATATTTGTAAGGGTGAAAATTCAATTACAAGAATGTGAAACTTTTGTTTTGGGATTTTATAAACAATTTATGGAACAACTGATAAACCTTGCTGTTTTTTCACAATTAGGAAGGGTTTTGTTCCCACAAAGTTAAAAATTAAAAACACCCCAGAAAAATTACTAAATACTTTTTTGATTTGATGGACATTTTAATATTAATAGATATATGGAGACATAAAAAGGATAATTCTAGAGATTATTTTCATAATGACACCAATCATTCTTAAGAATAGATATGATAATGGATTTCCAAAAACCTGTTACTCAGGCCTCTAAAGTGAGGATTGTAGAAAAAAAAATTCTAATCATAATCTGGTGATTTTGGTTTTTAAAAAGAAACCCACATCTTTTACAAGGAGATTAAATGCATTACAATGCATTAACAATTGAAACATCATTACTGAAAGTCTAAACAGTTAAAGATTGGAAAAAGTTAAGTTTGCGTATTTGATTTATAACACTATCCTTAATTTTTGGGTGTACAAATAATATCAGAGTAAAAAAGGAAGAATAGGGGATGAATAGCAAAAAAGGATCAATATATTTCAAGTTATAGCCATAATATGCAATGTCAAATCTTAATTCAGTGCTATATGAATTTCAATATGCCCAAATTAAAAAGCTGCATGTGTGACCACAAACTCATTTTGATCTCAGCAAATACAATTTTTGAACTAGGAGAAAGCAGAAGTGTAAATAAAATTTCACCTGCTGAAGAATAGCAGCAAGGGAATTCCTATCTTTTTGACTAACACCATCTTTTAATAAGCGGGCAAGAAGTTCTGGTTTCTTGTAGGTCTTTAGTGCCAATAAATGAATTATTCTATCCTTATAAGGCCGCTGTGAAATACTGTTGTTTGTATGGGTCTTCCGTATTGTATTTGCAGGGTTGATGGGGGTAGACCTTTTCCTTTCAGGAACTGCATCTGGAATACTTTGTGGTGCTTTTCGAATTTGTACTCTTTTACCTACAAGCAATAAAAACAATGTTTTTTATCTGTACACTTCCAACAAACCTGAAATTTATTTCCCAACAAAAACTGAAAAAGAAATCTAAGTCAAATGCAGGAACATACAGTTTTAACTATGTTTAGAATGTCACATGTTTAATTTATGTAAATCATAAATTCACTTCATGACTCTCATTGTTCAAGACACAAGTAATCATGTCTGATAATTTCGAGCACTGTATAATCAGTGATGAAACAGAATTATGAAATTATATTCTTCAGTGACAGCAACATGTAATTGAGTGGAACAATCAAAAGCTATTTTTATTAGCCAAAAGTTATGGTCTCCTAATAGTTCAATAGTGCTTCAAAAGTGGTAATTTAAGAATGCATGAGCTAATAGATGGCTAGCTGAAGAACAATGGGACACAAATTTCTGCTCCCTAATCTCTCAAAAGTTCTTTAAGACAATCCACAATTGTCTTCCACTTCTATTCTCAAAACACTTGAGAATCAGAACAAAGAATGCCATTTAGTCACTATCCTACTCTGAAATTGTTATTGCAAGTCTTGAAATAATAAGTTTTAATTCCCATTCCACCAGGGAATTTGCCATTACCAGTGAGACAGGAAAAAAAGTGTGTCCCCTTCCCTAATCCATGTTCTCACTTTCTATTTGGTGAGTTTTTCTGCTTATATGTCAAAAGAGAAGGAAGAGAGTAAGAGCAATAGAATGTGTGCATAGTTCATAGTGTGAGAGTTGGAAACTTGTCACCTCATTTTTATCCTATTACAGAAGAACAGTAAGACAAAATTATGTGACAGGAGAGGTGAACCACCACAAGAAAATACCAGATGACTGTGGCTTCAAACATTGATTTGAAAGTGGCTTTGAATTGGCAGAATCTTTGTTGGAATTTCAAATCAAGTAATACCATTTGACTATAGAAGAAATTAAGACTGCTTAGGAACAGTACACTTAGAAATTATTTACAAAATTGATACTATAATGCAGAACAATAGATTGGATAAAAGAGAGATTAAGGCTGATCTGAATTGGGGATTTGGATTTCAAACAAATGCCAGATTACAAAAGTGACTTTGAAAAAAATGTTATGGATCTGAAAATGGATTTTAAAATGTCAGAATTTAAAAGCTACATGAAAAAAGATGGATTTAAAAATGAAGCCAGTTTGGATAATTAAATATTAATAATTGTAGGAAGTCCCCCTTCTTAGAACAATGAAATATTTTGGTAAATATTAAAAAGGCAGGATAAAATGTGTCCCCTAAAGGAGAAATAAAAAAATCTTACAGGAGGCAGAAACCAGCCTGTTTCCCTGTCCCATGCAGAAACTGAGGAGGCCAGTTTTGAGAAATGTACGATTTGGTAATCCATTTAGGATTTGCATTTCCTCTTCTGCCTATAGAGCTAGCTATGACCTCTACATAACCACTACATGACCCTCATAGGAATCCAGAAGCTATAAAAACCCACCCATTTTAAACTCCATTTTGTCAGCTGCCCAGAATCACAAACCCTGGTGGTTCTGTTCACCAATATATGGACCTTCTTTCCAATCAGCCTCCATTTTGTTTCCAGCATCTTTCTTGCAGCTTGGAACTGAACCAGTGAATTTTCCTTCTAACAATTATTACTCATTCAATATTAAATATTAATAATTATTAAAATAATCATTTTTTAATAAATAGAGACATATACATAGTAAATTAGAAGAATGATTTGGAAAGCTTTCTTATCTTGGATTTACAAAAGGAACATGTTAAACTACTGAAACTGTAACTGAAAAGAGAGAATAAGAGAAAATAACAAAAAAATCAACTTTATATAATATTTTGGGTATTAAATGATGCAATAATTAGAATTTAAGCAATAACAGAAAAGAAAAAAAAGCAACCATACCTACATATGGTCCACCCGGTTTTATGACTTTTGTACTTCGATTACGAGACTCTTCTTCTGCCTGGGTCATACGTACTCTGGTCATTTGGTAAGAATCATTTGTTGCACATATAGTAATTTTATCCTGTATAAATCCCAGGCAATTGAGCTGTGATGATCCAGTACTAAGCAATACAGGAAGAAAACAATTTTATTTGCAACAAATATGTAAAATGAATTGTCCCAATAATATTCAACATCTTTCTATACATTTAATGATAGCTATCAACTGTGAGACACTTCTGCTTTTTGCCAATAATATAGGAAAATCTGTAAAATTCAGCAATCTTTAAAAATATCTATATAGGTTAAACTAGAAAATTAAACCAAATGAAGTAATTTTCTATTAAATCAAATGAAATATAAAATTATTTGTGAAAGCTTAGCCATATTAATGAAATCAATTTCACTTCTAAGGCTTTCAAAAAAGTTATTCCAGTTGTTGATTGTCAAGTAATTAGTATTCCTTTTTGAATCTGGAGGAACCATATATTGATTATGAATAACTGCCATGTTATTCAGTGACATAATACTAAGTAATCATCACAATATTTTATGAGAAAAAATCAAGACTTTGCTCTGGAAAGTATTTTATTTTGTTTGTCCTTAAACATAAACTAGATTGAACTGAACTCAACTACATTGTTGCTATTTTCTTCTCACGGTTACTTTCTGGGATCATTTTTTAATTTCTTAATCTACTTGCAACTCTATGTCATCTCAACCATTTGGAAAGGAGATGTACATTAATAATTAAATAAATAAATAAGCCTTTTTCACAAATATGGGTCACAGATATTTATTTTGACTGATCTTTACCAGAAAGCTGGTAAAATTTCAGGATTTTTTGGTTTTGGGTTAAAGAACAGATTTCATATTTTTAATTCTACATTTAAATTTTTAAAAATATTCATTTCCCTAAAGGATGCTTATGATTTACATCCTCTATACTCTATTATACAATAGTAATATTTATATTGCTTCAAGGTCAAGTAATTTTCTGTACAAAATAACTTGAAAGATGCCTATGTGAAGCTTAAAGAGTGATTTATTTCAAAGGAGATTAAGTCAATTACATTATAATAAATTCTTCATATTATAGTGAGGCAGTAAAGCAAATCAAAAGCCTAGGAATTTACTTTGGAAAGACTGGGAAGTGATTTGGAGATTTGACAGATTTTCTTATGCCTACTACTTTTGCAGCCTCAAATACTAATGCAGAAGGGGAGGCTTCAGTGATATAAGAGGCTGTCTTGTGGATTGTTTTATTTTTTTTTCAAAACCTCTATCAATGAACTTAGAGGAGAGGTATTCTGCTGTTTGTGCCTCAAATTCTGCTAGAGTTCTATAAAAATGATAGCAACTTGCTGATCACATAAAAATTAAGGAAAACTTGTTTGGACCTCGGATGCAAGATCACCAAGAAATACCAGAGTAGATAAAACAAAACACCTTATAATGGTAACAAAAAACCTACATGGGTGTGTGCATGGGATCACCCAGAGTTGAATTTGATTCAGAGTAGGCCATCAAGAGTCGTGGTGACGCAATGGTTAGAATGCAATAATGTAAGCTAATTCACTGCTCAGTCCAGGAGTTCGATTCTGACCTGCTCAGGGTTGACTCAGCCTTCCATCCTTATGAGGTCGGTAAAATGAAGACCCAGATTGTTGGGGGCTATATGCTAACTCTGTAAACAGCTTAGAGAGGGCTGTAAAGCACTATGAAGTGGTATATAATTCTACATGCTATTGCTATATGATCTTCTGCTAGAATCCATTTAGGCAGATGGGGGAGAGAGGAAAAAAACTGACTCAACTGGATTCTTCTGCTCTTTTCTGGATTGGATTTGTCCTTTCCTGTGCAATTCCCTATCTTGTTCGAATTTATTTAAATCTATCCTCCATCAACTTTCAAATCTCTTTATTTGACCCACATTAGAGCTTGTGACTATTTTGGAGTTCTTTGGCTCTTTCATTTTCAACTGTCATTCTTTCATAGACTATTTCTTCATACACATGCTGAATTATATCTACTAGTACCATAGTTCCTGACTTACTACCGGTTTGATAACTGTTCAGAGTTACAACAGTCTCAGAAATGGTACTTTATGGCCCTTAAAACACTTCTGGCTGTTATCAAATGTCAGCCCTCCCTCAATCACATGATTCAGGCACTTGTTAATAGGCTCACATTTATGATCAGTTGCAGTAATTCATGGAAAAAAAGTCCATTTGGGGAAATGTATTTGCACTACTAAGATTGTGTGATTCACTTAATGACCATGGTTCAAAGGCGTGACAGTGATTCTCTTGACTACTGTAAAAACGGTTGTAAAGTTGGGTCTGGTCACATAGGTGCTTCAGTTTATGGCTGTCATGACTTACAACTGAAATTATGACCCCAATTGTGATTGTAAGTCAAGGACTACCTGTTCAATAGTGGTAACACATGTCATTTTTCCAGAATTAATTTCATAATTAGCTCATAATATATTATTTCTACTGACAAGCTCTAGCCAGAAGGTACTTAGAATAGTAGAGTCAGTCAGAAGATGCCAGACACTTTAACCTTAGTAAGACTTTATTTTTAAACAGTATTTGAAGAAAAAAGAATATATCATTTTCTGATTTATTTCAATATTTCTCTGTTTCGTTGAACTATTTGGAAGTTATTAGGACATACTTTCCCCAACCTGTTATTTTTCAGTTAAAAGAGCTTCAAAAGAAATATTTGAAGAATTTAATACTGTGAAATCCCTGAAGTGATCTGGCAGGATATACCAATCTACCATTCTCTATTTTCATCCCAATCTTCCCTTATATACCAATCTTTCTGATTCCAGTCTCAAACTGGTTTAGATTTAATCATGTTGCCTTTAAATCTCCTATTCAAATTAAATCTCTCAGTTTTGAATTTTAGGTCTCTAGTGTGCCTGTAATAACTGTATTTTTACATTCCTTCCTCCATCAAGTTAAGTAGTCTAATATATTTTTCTTTTAATTAAAGGTATTGAAAGATATAGGAACAGTATTAGATGAGCAAAATGCAATGAATCTTCATTTTAAAATACCTTTTAGGTGCCTAAAAAAGGGTTTCATCTAACAGAAATAATAATCTATACAAGTATCTTTCAGAAACATACTGAATATGGATTTTATGTTTACATTTTTCCTGAAGTTATGTAAACAACCGTGTTAGCTTTTGATCTTGTTATATTTGCTTTTATATTTGTTCCTTCCTTTCTATTTCTTTTTTATTATCAATGTTCTGATTCTGTTCATCTTAATAAAATTCTTAGATTCCAAAAAAGGTAATTTGATAACCTCAAAATTTAAAACTACAGCATTTTCTCTTAATTTTCAGATGTTTTTAAGTCTACATTTAATATATGAAACACACATGTACACACACACACGTTTGATCATATAATTATTTCATCCTGGATTTGTTCTCCATTTCTAGAAGGCTGAGAAATAAAATAGTTCTTTCTCACTGTGAATTTAGTGGAGTATCTCTCAGCCATGTGTGTACTGTTACAAACGAATAGAATTCCAAAGTAGACAACATAATTTGATATATGTACAAAACAAAGGAGGACCGGAGGTAGAACTGGCATTTTCCACCGACAACATAATGAGTTCTAAACAAGACAATTTCTCAAACTGTATTTTTCAAAAGACCACAACAATTTTAGAATTAGAGTTTATACTTAGTATTTGCTGAGTTGAATTCTTTTTCCATTCTTCATAGCAACAAGGCTACAGACACCAGCAACAATTAAAAAAAACAATTTCACTTTTATTACCATTAGTAAATCTTTTACCTTGAAACAGTTTGCTGGACACAATCAAAGCTTCCCTGAGGATTATCTTTGCCAACATTTGACAGGTAGAAATCAAAGGTATGGACTTCATTTGGGACATCGGTTTTGGGAATCTTTACAAGCTGAAACACAAAGACAAATATTTATCTATAATGTTATAATTATGAAACTAAGCAGATACTTTTTCATATTTACAACTATTTTACAATATAGGATTCTGATATAACAAATGAAATTTTAGTCTGTCATTGACACATCCATTGAGTCCAAGAAAGACATGGAATTTAATTCAAACATTTAATATTTAAATTCAATAAATTGTCTTTTGGGCATAAAACTTCTAACAATATTATTTTTACATTTAGAAATATTGCAAGTAAGCTGCCTCTTTCACTGGGAAGACTTAAAACAAACAGAAAATAATTCAAGTAATTTTGTTGACTCTTATCCCTGGTTCTGAAGATACTAAACATTACAGTAGCCATATATCCTACTTTTCATAAGGATGTGTTTGCAATATATTTCCTTCTCTTCTTTTGATGGACTAAAAAAAGATACAATTCCAAGATTATTGGCTATGAAGCATACCAGTAGTATCCCACAAATGCCATTTGCAACCTGCACATTAGATTTCCAATAAGCACAGTCAATGAGAAGCTGTTAGGAAGTTGCAAGTCACAATCACATGATATTGTGGTTCACAATATGTGGTGATTCACTTAATGACAACAGCTGGAACTGTTTAAGTTGGTGAGGTCATGTAACATTTTATTTAACAACTGCACCACTTAACAACAGAGAAGTCAGTCCCAATTGTGGTTGATAAGAAAGTATTACCTCTATATACAGGTGTTTAGGGTAAGAATATTTTAAAAAATGGGTAAAAAAAACACTGAAAATGTCTTCCATTAGTGTTATACATGAGTAGCATCTTTCACCTGCCAAAAAGAGGAGCTCTACATTTTGTATCAACTGCGACTTCTAAGTAGTCTAGTTATGACCCAGGTGGTCAAGGCAAGGCAGACCTTTAGAGAGTCCTTTACTGTCGTCAAGAAGTGGTTCAACAAATGGCCCTCCAACAATCAGTAAGGGTCCACTCCATCCTATTCTGAAGGCAGTCACTCTCAGTCCCCCAAACAGCAGCCCATATATTACCAGGAAAGTCCACAAGGCAAAATCCAGACATAAGACAAAGACACACTACATGGCAAAGCCAATTCTGAAGGTAAAGTACAAGAAAGGGCAAAAGCAGTCCACAAGGCTAGGGCAAGACAAACAGCAGTTCTCAAAACAAAGGCAAAAAGGCACGAATCAAAGCCAGGGGGAGTGTAATCCAAAACAAACAATTGTTCCTGGCAAAGACTAGCACAGCTTCTGCTTAAGTCACTCCACTTCAAGCATGAGGAGGAATAGGGCTTCTCCCAAGTAGCCTGCAGACCTTCTATGAGCTTGCCTATGCTCCGCTCTCTGTGCCCTTGGATCAAGTGGAGGAAACAGATGTTCCTCATCAGAGGAGATCTGCTGCCTATCAGTACCATTGCCTGTCAGCAGCTGATCCTCCCCTGTGTCTGTGAAGGCAGGAAGCTCTCTGTCTTATCGACCACTTCCCCCAATACCGGAGGGGCCTAGGAAAGCAATGTCCTCAGCCCCTGGCCTCTCCAAACATGCCTGTTGACAGTCCCGGTTCAAACTCCTTCTCCTCCTTCGAATTGGGCTCCGATGGGGCCATGAGAAGTCAGTCCTATTTGTAATGTATTGCAAAAATTTGAGAGATGATGAGAATAAAAGGCACTGTTGCCAGAACCTCTTATTACTTCACATCCAGACATTATTATGCCCAAGTATAGACACCCAAACCCATAGAAGAAATTAAGTTGGCTGATAGCATATAATATGTCAGATCTCTGGATTAGTTCTTCCATTTGATTAATGGAGATATCAAGCAATATAGGGAATCCAAGCCAAAGCTGCTACTCATGCATCACCCTCCATAACCCATCCTTTTAAATATGTGCATATGTATCATTAAGCAATGCCCCCGCACAAAAATCTTAAAAATATATATTCAGAAGAATATCATGCTGAATTTTTAAAAAATGCCAAATGTATTGCTCTTCCTTTCAGCAGAGAGCTTAACAAACTTTTCTAATCTAAAACCACTCCCATAGTGAAAGTAAGAGTCAACCAAGAATAAGTTGGCAGCCATCAGTCAAGCAAATTGCTGAGACAGAAGAACATGCTTGTATGTTACTTCATGGTTTACTTGACATGAATGGGTGTAACATTCCATTGTTTATGAGACCTATGTGAAATAGTTGCCTCAAAGAAGGCAAATGATAAGGAGTAGACTGAGGTAAGCAATACCTATGTGTTTCACAAGCTTGATCTGCATGCAAAGCTAGCCTCCTGCATTTTGTTGAACTATCAGCTTTCGAATAAGAAATGACTGACAGTCTATGTAGCTCACTTGTATACATAATTATATAGGGAGGGGCTTTTCCTCAATAACATAGAACATGCTTTATGTACCTAAAAGAAAAATTCCTATCTTTACAAAATTCAGGCAATATTGAGAAAAGCCTGCCTGAGAAACTACTGCTACTGATCCTAAGATAAGTAGCTATCATGAGTAATCTATGTGAGGAGTAGGAGCATTGCATACACAATGAAAGAAATGGTATCCTGTAAATATGTTTTCCAAAGGTTTCCATAAAGAAATGTTCTCAGAAGGGCATCATTTGCAAGTATAGATAACACCCTTTACTGTTCTATTCAGGGGTGGGATGCAAATATTTTTACTACTGGTTCTGTGGGTGTAGTTAGGTGGGTGTGGGCATGGCTTCTTTTTTACAGCCCCCCCCGCCGCATTCCATTTTTTTTTGCCTCCTGGGAGGCCGTTTTTGCTTCCAAGAGGCTTCCCTGAAGCCCAAGAGGCAAAAAACGCAGCGCAGATGGGCTGCACAGTACCCGCCCTGCGCTCCATTTTTTTTGCCTCTTGGGCCTCTGGAAAGCCTCCTTGGTGAAGCAATAAAACAGTGAGGGGGATCTTGGCACAGGTGTTCGTCTGAACAGCTGATCGTTTGGAGGAAAAAAAAATACCGGTTCAGCCAAACTAGTAGCTGATTTTTTACTACTGGTTCGGCCGAACGGTAGCATTTTTTACTACTGGTTCGCCCAAACTGGGCTGAACTAGTAGAATACCACCACTGGTTCTATTAGACACAAAAAAGAATAGCTGCAGTTGAAGTGGCAATAAAAACTAAACATATTCACCTATGATTGTGAGTGACAGCACAATATGATTCCAGATTTGATAAGCAATATCAATAAAGCAACCAAGCACCAACAATCCATTTAGCAAGAGAGCAGAGAAATTGCAATGTGAACTTATTTATAAAAATAAAGCACTGAATTCTAGCATGTTGAATAGGTAACATTCTAAAAGTCTTTAGATTAATAAGATGCTATAAATTACAAGTACTATTTTTAGCCTAACTTTTGCAAACAAATTATCTCTGAATCTACTGGTTATAAAAAAGACAAGAGTAATATGATCTGCTCAATTGATGGCTGATCAATGTGCAACTCTGGTTAAACGATAGCTTGAATTCACGAATCGGGATAGAAGTTACAGTGCTTCTATCTTTAAGCTGAATAAATAGGAGCAAAGAAAGATTTCCTCCCAAAATGCTTTAACAAGTGGCTAACCAAAAGTCATGTTTTAATAAATTATCAATATGGATTGCAATTCTATATTGCCTTCTCAGTATTCTTATATAACAAACATCTGAACATGTTAATACATTATCAACCAAATTATTCCTACTATAGTAGCAACTTTGGAAACTAGAGAAAACTACTTGTTACTGAAAAATCAAAGATACAGTACTTTGCAGTCTAGAACTTAGATTGTTAGAATATCTTTAATTTTAATAAGCATGCCTATTAAATATTTCTCACCCTTATCCTGATATTTGATTTTACTTTGCTCTTTGCCATGACTTAACAGTTATATTGGTTCAGAATAAGAATTATGGTCATGTTCTGTTTTGGGTGAATTCCAAACTTTTGGCAATTTATGAGAAATTTGGGGCAGAAAGATCCAGAAACACACTTTGTTCTACTTGAAAGGATTTTCCAGAACTCTGCCCCCAATATGTTGATTTGGGTAGAACTAAAAAGATTTTTTTAAAAAAAAACCTTTTGAAGGTTGATTGTGAAAGGACTTGATGGGAAGGGGAAAAGGGGAAATAATGTATTTAGTTTATATGAATATTGCGATTAATCCACCATTGATATAAGGAGCGGGAAAATTCTCCACCTTATTTTAAACAATATATCTCATTGAAATAATAAATTATTTTGATTAGTTTTTTTTTCTATGAAAGACATCTTTCTATATGCCTGTTTTCTTAAAATCATTTCTCTCCATAAGGGGTAGCAGCCCCATTCGGTTTTGATCCTACAGTATTTAAGGTATACAGTTTAGTATACCAGTGTGGGGTGACCACTTTCACTTTTGGCTTACTTATATTCTGCTTGTCATGCTGCATATTTAACTCTTGTCATGCACAATCTATTCTGCTATAAAATTAAACAGCCAATATTTGGCCCGGCTAAGGGTCACCTTGACTGAAATCTTCTGGGTATGCAGATCAAGAATGGCATATAAATACTGAGGAAACAGTTTGAGTGAGCAGTTTCAATAATCAAAAGGGTATGTAACTCAACTCTTCCTCATGCTTATTTCTATGAAACATGACAAATTCCATCTCCTGATAACTAGTTATCATAAGAATTTCATCATGTGCAAAGTACTTAACAATTTAACAAGCTATATTTTAAATAAGTGGATCAAATACAATTGAACTGCCTATACTGATTACCATGAAATTTGGTATAGTTCATCACCCCATAATAATCTATGTTTCGTGTTTTTTTTTCTAGTTCAAGCCAAAAAAAGATAGGCACTTTACCTCTTTCCCATGTTACATAATGAGAAAATTTACTAAAATCATACTCTGGAACCAGGAACTATTAGAATGGGCTACCATCAGACCAATCTGGGGCATGAAAGACTATTTCTGTAATACTAAACACAATCCTTGAAACAAATTAATCACTCTAACAGATCCAATAAGAATACGAACTGTGAGGCTTATTCATAATAATAATAACTATTACTATGAACCTTACTAATTATAGAGTCCAAGCCAACAGGGCTGTGCAACTCTTTGAAAATAATTAGATGTTTCAAAATTAATAGAAGAAAAATTCTTCAACTTTTTAAAACAGCTACACCTTTTCCCAAATCATGAAGCTGTCCTCTTTAATTGCCACATGATATTGGGAAACAACACAGCTGTTTTAAAGAGCTGCAGACAAGTGTTACATTCACACCTTTCTGCCTTCAAAATCAATTCTGAAACTTAATATAAAGCATTGTACAGCTATAAAAGCCAGTACAAATTCCCAAAATGATTTGAATGTTTTCCAGGCAAGCAATAACTAACTCAGATCAGTTCTGAGGATAAAATAAATGTGAAATTTAGTTACTGATATCATTAAAAGCAAATTCATGAATGCAGGATTTTTTGTGTATGTGTTGTACTTTTTATTTTGCTTTTTATTTTTCTTCTAGTAGTCATAGCCATAACATTCAAAGCATCTCATCCTTATAGAAAAAAACCTATTCATCTTCTATTCCATATTTCGAAAAAGAATTAAGAAAATTCAGGTAGCTAAGAGACAGTTAGAAAAATGAATAACCAGGTAGCCATCATATGCATACACCTGATATTTATAGACCCCCATAAACATGAATATGCCACATTTTACTGTATTTTTATCCATGGGTAATACTTTTTATTACTTTATAACATTTTATAACATGAAAGTACAACTATGCTTACGTAATTCTGATCAGTCTATGTTCTATTGAAAGTATTACTTCAGTTCATATTAGACAGTGACGGAGAAGTGTAGAGAAATAAAACTGCCAATATTATATTAAAAATAAATACAAGAAGAATTTGGTCACATACATAACTAGAGTCCGTATTGCCTTTAATTTAATGCCTAACTTCTTTCTCCTATATATTTAAACATTTGTCAAAAAATAAGTAATATGGCTGATAACATTTCCATATGGATAATATAAACATGACATGCAGTTTTTTTTACAGTCTAACTGGATCAATATTTCAACCGATAATCTTATTGTAAACAAAATATTTAAAATAAGTAGTATAAGCTTATATAAATAGTAAATATTAGAAAGCTAGTATTAAATGATATATCCAGCAATTATCAAAAATAATTACATAGCAAAACTTCTCCAAAAATTGACTAACTTTAAATTTTTCAATGCCATTCTGCCTCCCGATTTTCAAACTTACACACTATTTTCATTCCAAATCAATTAAAAATTGCCAAAATAACAGGAATAAGAAATTGCCAAGATAAGATAATGTTCATGAACCAGCTGAATAAATAAAGTCAGCCAGGTGTCTCTGAGTTTTAGGTGAGCTTTGAGCCAGTCACGCACTCTTAACCGAACACATCTTACAGCAGGGGTCACTAATATGAATTTTGACTGACAGTGGCTTGCTGAAGTTGGTGGGGGGGGGGGAGGGAGGGGGAGAGAGAGAGAGATCTGATCTAACCCTGCCCCCCCCCCCACACACACAGAGGCAGGGGTAGGATTCAAATTTCTTATCAACCGATTCTTGGGTAGGGCCTAATTTGTGGGTGTGGCTTGGTGGTCATGTGACTGCCTGGGCATGGCTTGTATGTAAGTATTATAAATATTTATATAAATATTATTATTTTTTTTATAAAAAAAGAGCAACCCAAAATCAGGCAAAGCAGGCAGGCAGATTGAGTTGCTTACAGAATCACAGATTCATTCAGAGAGCTATCTTTCTGCCATTGGCTACCTGCACTGAATAACAGAAGCTTCAGTCCTAAAGGAGGTTTGGCTCCGCTTAAGAAGAGCCGAAGATCTAAAGATTAGCTAGAAAGCAAGAAATGCAACAGTTGCCTGCTTTCTAGCTAATCTAAATCTCCCAGCACAACAGAACAGGTAATGGTCAGGGGGGAAATAATAAAAGGAAAAATAGCAACTTAGCAGGCAAGTTTGCCAGGTAAGGAGTGAGTGGGCGGGGAGGGTTTCCACGGGCCATGTGGGCAGCGCAGCCTTGTGTTCCAGAGCAGCCTGGATTAATTGCTTTGGGGACGCTCTGGGGGTAACATTTCTCTGTGGACCACCAAAATTTTCTCGCAGCCCACTGCCTTAGAGGGTTCTTGGAAGTAAATGAGAAGCATTATGTTTAGTGTCTGACAAAATTCAGACATAAATCTAATACATGAATAAATCAAATGTTGTACTTATCATTTATCACAATAAGATTATAAATTAGGAAATATTTTCAAATATACAATACATGGCTTATTCAATGCATTAAATAATTTAAAACAGATGTAGCTCATTACTTAATATAAACTGCTTGTACGTAGATAAGTTTTTCTTAATAAATATACATACCCCTTGAAGCCCTTGAAATTGTATTGAAGGTCGAGAAGGAATTAAATTCTAAAGGAAAAAAAGCAAAATAATTACAAACTTAAAAAGTAAAAAGTATTTTAGCAAAACATTATAAAGGATTATGTAAATAATGCATATTTAACAGAAGTATATTAAGAGATACCATAAGAAATTATATACTAAAATAATTTCTAAATTATAGACTTTAGATATGAATCTCTGAAATAACATTATTTGTATTTCTAATTAAAACAGAATTACTGTAGCAGTGCAAAACAAATAAAATTTAATTCATTTAGTTTGAATGTAAAAGACAAGCAGAACATTACATGATTTGCTATTAATATTAACTAATTCAGGATCTATTTGAATAGTTGCTAGACACATAATATATTATTAGTTTTAGAATGCTCACACAATGAAAGCATTTAAAATATTAAATAGTAAATGGCTTGTTAAACTGAAATAGAGTGTTCTCTTTCTCTCTCTCTCTCTTTCTCTCTCTCTCTCTCTCTCCCTCCCTCCCTCCCTCCCTCTCTCTCATTACCTAACTGCATATACAGTATCTATTGTGGTAAAAGGAAACCAGTAACTGTGCATCAAACCACTGGAAATTATATGTATATAATAAAATAGAAAGAATGGCTTTATTATGAAAATACTAAAAGTCATGCTCTTCATTCAATGCAAAAAACGATAAAACAACAATATTTAATTGTTAAAGAATCAATTTGTCCCTGAACCATAATTTTGTTAACACAAAGCTCAGGCTATGAAATAGCAAATGATTTCTATATACCAAATTTTGATTTCCATAACCACCCTTTAGAATTCACTTTGGGTGGCATACATAATTTTTCTGTTGCCTTTCATATTAATGCAATATATTGAAGAAAAAAATAAATTTCTCAAAATGTTAACACAGCTACATCTTTTTCCTGACTTCAACAGCAGTTTTAGAAGCTATTCCTGTCTGTCTCCCCATCATTAATTCCTTTGCTAGGCAAAATGTTAGCTGTATGAGCTTGAAAAAAACAGCTTCCTTAATAATTAAAACAGTTAAAACAACTGTATATTCTGAACACCTATTTCGAAGAATTTAAATAGCCCTAATAAGAATAACAAAAACTATTAACCAATTTAGTTATTTCTTTTAAAAAAGTAGTCCACAGTAGTCCTCAATTAATTCATTTCATAAAAATAATCAATCAATCAATCAATAACTCAATAGCTGTAAAATGATTTTTAAAATATATTTTGGTATTGTTAAAATTATAGTATTAGGAAACATCAATTATAAGAAGTTTACTTTAAAAAGTAATCTCTCCTCTCCTTAGCTTTAAACCTATGCAGTAATGGCGAACCTTTTCAGCACTGAGTATCCAAACTGGAATGCGTGTGCATGCGTGTGTGCCAGAGCACCAGAAACCCGAAGACCAGCTGGCTGCCGTGCACATGCCTGCTTTTTTGGATGTTTTTAGGGCAGTTTTCAGGCTGTTTTGGGGCTGTTTTCAGGCCATTTTGGGGCTTTTGGCCAGAAATGGCCCAAAAGTGGCCTAGAAAATGGCCCAGAAAACAGCCAGAAAATGGTCTGAAAAACGCTGGAAAGTAACCTGAAAAAGCTCCAAAAAAAGTCTGAAAAATGGCCTTTTTGGCTGTTTTTCTTACTGCACTCCAGTGCCCACAAAGGCTAGCTGGCTGGCTAACCCTAACTCTAAGTAAAAGAGCATCTGGTGATGATGCGCGTGCCCACAGAGAGGGCTTTGTGTGCCACTTCTGGCACACGTGCCATAAGTTCGCCATCACGGCTATAGTATAAGCTATCTTAGAAAAAGGCAAATTTATAGAATTTAATCCAAGCAACTTTATTTAACTAATGACAGAGATAAGAAAATGGATAGTAGAGACTACATTACTTAAAGGTCAGCTTTATATATATAAAACACTAAATCATAGTTCAGTGCTGAGTATATGAGCAAAATGTGTTCTCATCTGGCTTGGCTTCAAGAGCAACACTAGAAAATGTAGATTTTCAATTACAGCAAACTAGTAAAACTCTTTAACTAGCTTATTATAGAAAAAAACCTTCATAAAATATATTTGTATCCTTCCAACTTCTTCCTGCAGCTCTGTCAGTGGAGAGAGCTGAATTGGGATACCAAAACAAAAGTGATTATGCCTGTACACAGCCTCCACGCAGCTCCCAGCCTCACATTTCTGAGGCTCCAAAACTTCTCATTCTACTCAACTTTAATCTGAATGTAAAGAAGAAATGCTGTTTATATGACAAATTTCAATAAATTAACACTTTAGTCTTATGCATATTTAAGAAAATAACTGGCCTGCTAGATCAGGCAAAGCCCATAAAAATGTAGCTTTTTAAAAACTGAAAGAAGCCAACCAGATAAGAAATGTCTAGCTCCTGTTATTATTCCCCTTGAGCTGGTATTTAGAGCATAGTGCCCCCAATCTCAAGACAAATGGCCTTTTTACAGTTAGCACTAGATTTGTACAGTGCATCAACAAAAGTGTTGTCTGTGCATGGACACCCATGTTCAGACAATCAGAGTCAGTTTTTGAAATAACAATTTCAAAGCAGTTTCTTTAATCCTTTATGGAGGAATATTTCAATCAGACGAATACAGTACATTTTGCAAAGCAGAGCTTTCAAACACACTTTTGGTCAGCTCTATTTAATATTACATTTTAAAGTGATTGTGCTATTTTAAACCACTCTAAAAATGTTGCAAAATAAAAGAAATCTAGGCTGATGGGCGCAAATAGCTGACCTTGGCTACTCTTGACAAATAAATTCTATTCAGTCAGGCAGCCTGACTCATATTTGGACAGGAGACTATCAGGAAATACTCAGGATGCAGGTTAGATTGGGAAGTAGAAAAAAACCCTTGGCAAGAAAACATCGGCAAACGAATTCTGTATTTTTACCAACCAAGCTACATGGACATTTCCACAAAACTCAAGAACTGAAAAATTGCATTGTTCCTTCAATTAATTCTGATTCTGTTTGCTCAACTACATGCCTTATTAAAATGAAAATATAGATGTATGTACCCAAACTATCAGGCCCAAAGAACCAAGAATGACATGTAGAGTTACTTCTGAGTAGCTCTTTAGTGTTGTTCAGCTATTAGCAGAATCTTGTCAGACTATAGCAACTATCTGCAATAACAATTAGATACATTCTGTGAACTCCTGGGGGAGGGGTTGCCATCTTTGCCCTCTTCCTGCTTCCCAGACATTCCAAACTGGGAAAGAGCCCCTCCCTCCTGCAACTCTGGATTACATTCCATCACATAAACACTAGGAAACTGGACAACAGCACTGCAGTAGATTGCAATAGATTATGTGCAGAACTGCCATAACTATGTTTCTCAAGCATCATCCAGCTTTTGGCAATGTATGTAAAAAATGCTAACCCTATTTGCATCTATTTGTAGGATACTTTTATAAAATCCACAGAAACTTAGAAAATAATATTTTTAAATAATGTACAAATAATACAGATTCTTGCCTTTATTCCATAGATTTTGTTGTTAGAAAATCTAATGCTCAATCACAAGTCTATATAAATCTATTTAATGAATAAAACAAAAATCCAGATTTCTGAATCACAGGCAGCCAACCGTTCCCACAAGGCAAGTTTTTTTTAAAAAGTTAACTATGAACTTCTTCTCCTGACTGCATGTCAATCATTAATAGAGCAGGCTTGATTGAATAGTGATTACACATTTTGTCTGCTAAAATGGCTTCCAGAACAACTTGAGATTAATAAGAATAAAAAAAACTGGAAATACAGGTATTGTAACTTGTGGGGCGGGGATAATTCCTTCTCCCCCCCTTGTGCGCATTTATATTTCCCTTCAATCTCCCTTAATTTCTAGGGTATCAGCCAGATTGACTAGGGGCAATTGAACACCTGCCCTGTTTCTTGGAAGCTTCTCTGTTCTGACTACCCTGTTTCTCCAACAATATGGCCTCCCCCAATAGGAAGTCCCAGCATGTTTTATAGGCATGAAATGAAATTAAGCCCCTTCCCCCAAATTAAGGCCTATATTAAAACATGTGAAATGCGGGGAATGGTGGTGGGGCTTGCCATTAGGAAGTTCTTTTGTTGCACACCCAGATATGGTGCTGCCTTCGTTGAGCCCAATACGAAGTGCCCTACTAACGCCGAGGTCAATATCCAAGCCAGTGCCGCCCGCCCACCTGAAGATGCAAAGGGGGGGGAATTAAGCCACTCCTGAAAAGACGGCCTAGACATTTTGGGGGGGCTCAAAAAAAAAAAAAAAGACCCGGCCTTATTATATGAGAAACACGGTAGCTCTGGAATAATGATCATGGCCATATGTGGAAATAGAGCAGAGTGACTGAAGTTACCTTAGCTAGTCATAAGAGAAGCCACCTGCATACAAACTTGAAATCAAAAGTAAATACGGATTTGTCCCTGCCATATTCATCTCATGTATACTCAGTGGGAGGGAGTAACTCCTTTCCCCGAATAAGCATATCCCATTTACACTTATGACATTTAAAACAGTTTTGAATACCAGAGTACAGAGATCTACATGTTTAAGTGATTCTTCAGATAGCTTGGTCTGTAACTACTTAGGGATCATAGCTCAAAAACAGAATTCTGAATTTGGCCCCAGAAATCTACATAGAAACTTAATCAGTGCCAGGATAAAAGGTAGAAAATCAGATGTACATGTATTTTTTGTATTGACCATAACTACCAGATAGTTATAAGATGATAAAAAGCCCTGACATTCATCAAATTCTGACAGCATTTATTTTGAGGCTTATCTTCCAGAGAATGATTACACTATTTAGAATAGCGTTAATTAGAATAATGCTTAGATACTAATATAGCAAGACTGATCACAGATTAGCAACATAAAATGAGTTGATCATAGAGGTACTTTCATCATTATATTTAAATGAAATTAAAATTTTATTTGAGGAGAGATAGTCAAATATAAGACAAACTATGATGTATTAATATTAGTATTAGTTTACTTTATTAATCATTACACAGATGACATTTCAACATAGCTTAAAAATTTGAGTTTCTATAAATGATATATGCACTTCATAGCTAATACTGCCCATTTGTAAGACAATAATGTGAAAGTTTCAATTTATGTTATTTATGCTATATTATAGTATTATAAAGCATATTAAAAGTGGTAGCATTTATTTTGAACGTAACCCTTTCAGTTAACATCTCTTGAAAGTACAATGTGCCATATTAATAAGAGGCATGAGTGCTTATTAAATTAAGGAATTTATATTAAGCTTTTATATTGTTTTAAATAATTTATTTATTGGGATCTGGCTATACATATGTCTGGTTACAATAGTGTTAAATTAAGACTTTTATGACTCTTGGATGACCATAATAAATGCAATACAACAAATAAACAAAATTAGTTCACATATATTCCTACTATATATAGCATTTAATTATAGGAATTATTTCTTCCTATTCTATTATATGTTTAAGAATATTTTGCCGCTGAATTAGTTCAGCCAATGGAAAAGTCAATCTACTAATGTAAATTATCTTTTCAAATATAAGCAGGGCTAAATCTGACTATTACTTAGAAATTGGTCATTTTTAAGCTATCAAGAACTAGTTGATAGCTTTATAGATAACTGTCTAAATAATGTGCGTCCATTTATATCACAAGTTCTTTAAAAATTACACCTTGAAAAATTCAGTTTTTAATACAATTTTATAAGACAAATTAGATGGTCATCCTATGTTTTTCAACTAGTTAAGGAACCTGTTTATAATATTTGGAAATAAACATTGTATTTACAGTATAGATTTATATATGCATTCTCTGAAATATGTTCTAGAGTGAAATATCATTAAAGTTTTTCCCCAATGTAGAAAAGATTGTACACTTAGTATAATTTCTAATACTTCAGATTCCCTATCATCCTTACAGTTTTTAAATTAATCATTTTAAATTTTACAAGGCAAATGTAATTATTTTTCTATAAAAGAAAACTGAGATTAGCATTTTATGTAGTCATAAATGTGGAACCCATGCCACTGCTTCAGATAAAATAAATTATTTTCCTGCTTTAGGATATATTCTTAACACTTAAAACTGAATTGTTTAACAAACTATATATTTCAGAACAAAGTTGTATAGGATACTAAAAATATTGTTTACATTTTTTACTTTTATGTAGATTAGTTATTTCATATATATGAAGAGTTCTCAATATTTTATTTTCTATAAAATAAACTGCTTCAAAAAATAACTCCAAGTGTATGACAATGCAGAATACCTTTGATTATAGAAATGTTAAAGGAATTTGAAGACAATCATTTTCAATCTGAAGTGAAGTGATAGTAATTTTAAAGCTAACCAAATACGCAGTACAATAAGATTAGATTTTCCTGATACAAGTATTAACTGTTTTTTTAAGACAGAGGGAAAAAAACTTTTTTACGTTACATTTCATTTAGCTGAAATAGAAGAAACTAAAAATATCGGTAATGGTGTAAATTTTAAGAATTGATTTTCTTTTTAAATGTTTGATTTAGAAATCTACGTAAACTGCTCTAGTTTCAAAAAAATAAAGGGAAGAAAATGTGGTAGCAATATGAACAACATACAACATTTTCTGAAACTGCCTTGTTCTTGAATATAAGTTTCATGGTAAAATAAGAATAGCTACAGTTTCAATTCTTCAATATCATATGCTAAAGCTCCAATCTGAAGTTGATTTGTAAGGATTATTTGGCATAAGTAATAATTTCCACTCATGCTTAACAAGGGAAAGAGCTTGATGTACTCAGTAATTATTCCATATATACCCCAGAGTGGCTATAGTTTGCTGAATGGGGAAAGAAAGCTGACCCAGTCACACAACTACAGAAGAGCCATCACTGAAGGAGGCTTATTTTGTTCACTATTTTAGATTGCTTATTATGAAAAACAACTATTAGTCATACAAAAAGGCACAACTTAGAGGTCAATTCTCAGAAAACCATGTCTGACTCATCTTTCTGCAAGAAGAACAGCTAGGAGAAAACAGGGTGGAGAATGGGGGAATAGTCTGCCATCTGTCAAGAACCTGTTATTTAAATTCTGTCTGGTTTAGTTATGTTCTCAGCTTATCTATTGCTCTTAGAAGGTTTAAAGGGGAAGCCCTTTTGGGAAAAGCCTGCTGGTAAATGACTGGAGTATTTAAAAAATAAAAGAAGAAAGTTTGATCAGTACCTTCCCTTCTTCCTAGACCTAGAATCTCTGCAATTCAACAATCCCCCAAAGCCAGTAACAAAAGGAACTTAGGCAAAAAGAAAGGGAAGCAAATTTAATTTGAAATTCCATGTTAAAATACCAGTTAATTAGAGCTTAATCCTTCTTGCTGGGCACAGAGTAGCACACAGGAACTCTAATGTGCTTTGAACAAACACAAATGAGGGTTCAACTTCCCACTGGAAAGCTGCAGTAAGATAATAAAAGAGATCAGCAACTCTCCTGCCTCCTATTTCTACAAAAGAAGATTAACACAGATCCTACAGGTCACATTTTGTTGATCTGATTGATCTCCATTTTTTTTAAAAGTGTCCTCAGACACTCATATATGAAGCTAATGTATCTTAATATCTAATCTTTTTTTCAAATTAAATATATTGCACTGAAAACTTGAATAGCTGTTAATGCCACTTCAAATAAGTGACACAATTTGGCCCCATTTCGATTTCTCACAGATTTCTCATGGGGATGGGGGAGAGAGCAAGAAAAAACCCTATGGGAAAAGGGAGTCCGGATGGCAGGAAGATTTAATATTTCTGACATCATTATAATGACGTGCAATAAATCTGTCAGTGTTAGAATTGTCACTTAAAAATTCAGCCATGGAACACGCTTTATAAAAACAAAAAGAAAAACAGAGTCCCTGAATGTCCCCACAACCTATTTTATCCCACAGACATTTAATGGCAGCGACAGCCAGAGGCAGAAGAAGAGCAAAGCCCATAAATAAATGACAACTCAGCAGAATCGGTTTCATCTGGGAACGGCCGGCACTGGTCACGGCTAGCTCCGGAGGTACAAGCTGGCACCGACACCCAGAAAGGCGACTTTCTTGGGTAAATGCCATTTTTATAAGATGGCATCAACCCCAGGCAGTGTCACCCTTCATATCTTCCTGCCTGAAAGCAGCTGCGGCTCGGGAAACTTTGTATCCCGCAAAAGGTTTCTTTAAAAAAATTTAAAATAAAAAGAGATCGTAAGGAAAAATCGAAGAACAGAGAAACAGACTTTAGGAAAAGTTAAGGCTCTGGACTTATCGGGCAGCCATAGAAGGAAACCGAAGGAGATCCTTCTCTTCAAGAGAATCGAAAAGTGTCTCCCGCAGTTGCCTCCCCTCAACCTTTTCTCTTCCCTCCAAGCTTCATCCGATGAGGCAAGTCACTCACTCAGCCTTTGCCTCTGGAGAAAGGTTGTTGCCCCTTTCCATTAGTTAGTTTTCTTTTTCTTTTAAAGAAAGGTCCTCGCTCTCCGCGCTTCTCTAGAACTCCAGGGGAATCCCAGAGGGTCACCGACCCCATTATCCAGGCGAAGCGTCGCCTACTTCGGCGGCTAAGACCAGGTTACCCGGGGCTCTCCTCACCTTGCTCCCCTGGTAGTTCTCCAGTGCTCGAAAGGCGGTCTCGGTCAGCTTGAAATGCAGCACCGTGATATTGTCCTGCGTGACTCTACCGCAGGACACTCCATACCTGCCCCCTTCCCGCAGCGACGCCATTTTACGCCACCTCCCGCCCCACAGCCACCGCCGGGGCCGCGAAGCCGCCAACGGAGGCTGCTGCTGCTGCTGCTGCCCCTGTAGCCACTCCGGCAGCAACAGCCATCCTGCCGCTGACGTACCAGGCAACGCGCAGCCGCTGCCGCCGCCGCCGCCGCCGCCGCCACCACCACCGCGGCACCCCGCCCACTCAGCTCAGCAGCAGCCTCGCCGCCCCTACCCCGACACCCCAGGAGCACCGCCCCTTTTCCCCCACGCGCCCGGCCCGTAGCCTGGTCGTGGCACACAAGACCCGCCCCACGCGCAGGCACCAGGCCCACCGCTCTTTCAGACTCCGCGCTGAGGAGCTTACCCGAGGTCAGCGGGCGGGGGGGGGGAGGTGGGGCTACTTGGTGACGTCGGGTCATACAGTATTTGATCGCGTTTAAATCATTATTGACGCTTAGGATTGAGTCACTTGTAGACGCATTATGTACGTTTGGTCTGAGTTGCCCTGCGTTATGTGGGCTCCCTTTTCTATCACGACTCCGATGTCGGGATCAATTGTAAAGCCTTTGCAGCCTAGCTTCCTTCTAGAGCAGATCTCTAAAATTTTAAATAAAATAAATGGGTCAACTTGTCTGAAATGGCATAGGGTCTCCTGCTTGAGCAGGGAGGGGGGTTGGACTAGAAGGCCTCCAAGGTCCCTTTACAGCTCTTTTCTGATTGAACTTCAGAGCAGCATTCCCCTTTATTACAGCAGCACCACACCTTATGTGATTAGGACTACTATATATAAAGTTGAATGCCTGAAGAGTGCCTTCTGCGTGGTGTGTTTTTCTTTCTGGAATTCAGGTGCCATTATTCCCTGATATAAGTGTGTAGTGTGGATTGACTTACTGACTAGACAAGGTTGTGTGTACAACCTTCCCTTTGCAAACCATTCTTAATGAAAAAACGTTGTGATTCCTTGAAAAGTAATAACTGTATCATTGTGCATACTTTTGTGAATTGATAATGTGTACTTAAAGTGTCATAAAACTATTTTTTGCTGCAAAAAGTAAGAGTTTCCTCATGTACATGGTTCACATGGGTGAAAATAGGCAAGGCAGGCTAAACTAGGAGTGCACTCTCATGGTTCATTTTTTCAGTAGTACATACAAATGCATACCCGTATCTTTTCTTAAAGTGTGTATTTTGGGAAGGGGGGGTTATAGCAAGTATTAAGACACCACAGAGCAATCTCCCCTCTGCTTTGGATTACTGGATTACTTTCATACTACTAAACATGTTTATTGTAAAGTAACCTCATTCTTGGGAAAATTTCTCTGATATGACAGACTCAGCTATATCAGATGAAAATAAGAATAAGAATAGAATAGAGCTCAAGCAGGAAACTCTAGTCTACCCCATTTCAGATAAGTTTATTTCAGGTTGCTTGTCTCCTTGATTAGTTTCCAACCATTGTTTCTTGTCCTGCCCTCTGGTGCTTTGGAGATTAATTTGACCCCATCTTCTTTGTGGCAGCTGCTGAAATATTGGGATATTGCTATCATGTCCTAGTTCTTCTTTTCTCTAGACTAGCCAAACACAAATCCTGCAACCATTCTTTTTTTATTATAAAAGTTTTCTATTTTTTTAAAAATTTTACACATCTCTTCCCCTGAGCAACTTGATTTCGGATTATAACACTTGTACATAGTCATACTTTCATTTCCATTAATCTTATATAATATCATCTCATATCATTATCCATTTCACTCATCTTTAAATAAATTTGCATTTCATATTTTAATTCATTAATTCAGTATCAATATCATTTCATCCACACATAGGTTTTCAATTCTTTATCCCCTATTATTTCCATTTTATTTTATTTTACATTACAAATCAATATTATCCTTCATTTTCTCTAAGCCGATATATAATAAACAATCTAAAAAGAGTAAAAGTAAAATAAAGTCAATATATTTAGGATCCACATGGTATTTTTCATTCCCCTACTTTAATCATAATAAAATACTCTCATTGTACACTTCTAAAATCCATTAAATAATCAACTGTATATTTTAAAATGTATATATTTTAAAGTATCTCCCCCAGTAAATTGCTAAAATAACTTCTTAATATATGTTATTTTATCTTGACTTTACTTATAATCATTAATAATCATATTTTTTCTTCCTTTCCACTTTGCCAAAGTTTATATATTTTAATTCATTTCCATTCCCGTTTTTAATCCTCTAAAGAAAGAGCTTATAACAGCATAATTCATATACAATTTGTATACACACACACACACACACACACACACATTTATATATATATATAAATATATAACAAATGATAGCTGTCCATTTACTTGGAGACAAGCTGCACTAAAAGCCTCCAATACAGGAACACAATGTTGCCAGCCAACCAAGACAAAAAAAGCCACAAAACAGACAGAAGATATTAGAAACACCAATCAAGCAGAACACAGCAAACTCCAAGACCAATAAACACAGACCAAGACTCCCAACCAATCAGGATGAAGAAAAAACCATTCTGGCACAGCAGTAGGCTAGCCCCAAATTGAAAACTGAAACAACTGTAAAAGTCTGACTCACAGACGAACACAATACAGAAGCCTGATGATGGCAGGTGAGATTCTGCCGAAACGTTGCTACAACTTTAAAATCACAACTATAATGACGTGGGAAAATACCCTAACAAAGCTGAATACCATACATACATACATACATACATACATACATACATACATACATACACAATCCTAAAATATTTCCCAGCAAGTTTTAGACTAAATACCAGTATACATTTCCATGTGGTATCCCCTTTATAGAATCCCTAACCCTTATCTCTAAATTTTTTGGCTTTATTATTTCTTTTAATTTTAGCCAGCTTTCCCTTTTCTAAGTTTCCCCGGTCTTTCTTGTTTTTTCCTTCTCGTATTCTTTTTATTCCCCTCTTCCTGTCAGCCATGTTTTCCCCACCCTTTCCAGTTCTCTTTTTTGGAGTTTCTTCTTACATAATTCCTTCTTCTTCTTAATCTTGGGAACCTTATCTCTTTTATTTGTTGTCTCTGTTGTCAATGTCTCTATTTTAAATCCTTTTATATCTTTGGCAATGATCCTTGTTCTCCATATTCATCTGTACTGTTGTTTCCCTCTTCCGACTCATCATCTTTGAACTTTCTTTGTTCTTCTACAAGCTGCAACGCCATTACTTTACTAATCATTGTGTTCAGCAATTTCATTCTTTCTTTTAACATACCTCTCACAGTTTGCAGCTCCGACTTAAATCCTTTGCTTATTTCTTCCATTTCTTTATTAATGATCAAATTTTTCTACCATAGTCCTTGCCAAAAGTTTCCGTTTCTCTCACTTTCTCTTTTTTCTATTTTCTTATCACAGTCAACCTCCAGCAGTCCCAAAATATTGTATTCCTTTATATTTTACTATAGCCCTCTTTAAAAAAAAACTGGGTTTTTTGTTGTATTAATAATCTTTTATTCCATTTCTTCTCTCTTTCAAATATTTATGTGACCAGTAATTCTCCATAAAAACATAAAAGAGGAAAATCTTTAACCATTAGGTGATGCTCTATATCACTTTCTTTTCAAAGTTTTTTTTAATTCTCTTTTCCGTAGTGTTAATGTTAATTTTTATCCATTCCAAATAAGTCCAGCATTTTATCCAATGCCTAATGAATGTCCAATTCTGTATATTAGTTCAAATTTAATCTCTGATTTCATATAATGCTTTTATTTCTGGTTTTACCTTTACCTTATATTTTCCTCTTTTTCTCCGTTCACCGCTAACCATTCCTCCAATTGGTTGCAATGTTCCAAGTGTGATCGTACTAAGGTTTTATAAAGTGGTACTAATATTACATGTGATTTTGATTCTATGCTTCTGTTTATACAATCCAGGATTGTATTAGCTTTGTTGGCTGTTGCTGCACACTGCTGGTTCATATTCAAGTGATTATTCTCTAGGTCTAGGACTTCAAGGTCCCTCTCACAGTGACTATTTTTGAGCAAGGTCTCGCCAAATCTGTACTTACGCCTTTGGTTTTTCCTGCCTAAATGTAAAACTTTGCTTTTCTCCACATTAAAATTCATTTTGTCGGATAGGGCCCATTGTTCAAGTCTGTCAAATCTTTTTGGAACTGAGCTTGTCTTCTGGGGTGTTGGCTATTCGTGACAGCTTAGTGTCATCTACAAATTTGGTGAGTTCCCCTTCTATTGCCTTATCTAAGTAATTTATGAGGATATTGAAGAGTACTGGGCCTAAGACATAAATCCTTGTGGAACCCCCCCTGCTTACTTCCCTATGTAGATGTAGTACCATTAAGAACTACTCATTGAGTACAGTTTGTCACCCAGCTACAAATCCATCTGGTGGGTAAATAGGCTTTACATATACTTACTGTTTATTCTTTTTTGTCGTTTCTGTTCTATTTGTTGTTTTATTATAATGGTCAATTTCCTGGAGATTATCTATTTTGGGTAAAAAGTACAGAAGCAAATGTTTAATAAATAATAGATCTGAGTTCTGTAGTATTGTGCAAATAATATGTTAAAATTACAGTTTAAATGATCACCAATAATTAATTCTTTCCAGCCTCTATTGCTAAAGTCCCTAAATCACAATTCAGTGTCATTTTTTAAAAGGCTCATCCGTTTTAACTTCTGCCTTAATATCATGTGTCTTGCTAAGTCTTATAGAAGCTCTTATTTAACTTACCAATGATAAGATTTCTTGGTATCTTCAACAAACTGAAAGCAAAACATGTGCCTTCCTCTGCTTAGTTTAAAGCCAGAATGGATTATGGTTCTAATTCCTGTATATTGCACAATTTTCTTCCAATTGGCTCACTCTGCAATAGCATGTTCAATAACTCTGTGTTTTTATTTTTATTTATTTATTTTATTTTATTTGTCAATTGTTTACAAGATAATAAGTATAAGTGTATATATAGTTATGAATACATGAAATGGGTACATATAAGAAAAATAAAAGAAAAATAAAAGAAACAATAGGGCAGGGACGGTAGGCACGTTGGTGCGCTTATGCACACCCCCTAGAGACCTCTTAGGAAAGGGGTGAGGTCAATAGTAGACAGTCTAAGGTTAAAGTTTTTGGGGTTTGGGGAAGAAACTACAGAGTCGGGTAGAGTATTCCAGACATTGATCACTCTGTTGCTGAAGTCATATTTCCTGCAATCAAGCTTGGTGCGGTTAACCTTGAGTTTGTATCTAGTGTGTGCTCTTGTGTTGTTATGGTTGAAGCTGAAGTATTCATTGACAGGTAGGACATTGCAATGTATGATTTTATATACCATGCTTAAATCAGACCGAAGACGGCGTAATT